GGTATATGTCTTATCGAAGTGCCTTATACTGCGGATCTTTTTTCATACATTAAGCATACACTAATCGAGAAAGGATTCTTGAGTAATTCTCCAAGTTAAGTCGGAGAGAATTATTTTCTTGGCATTTTTCCGAGACCACGCGGTCCCGCAAATTTGCAAGATTATTTTAGAATATCATTAGTAATAGTTCGACATGAAAATAAAGAAACTTGAGCCAGTTGAAAGGCTTGTATACCATATTAACGAAATTAAAGATGCCCAAAAATACAATGCCAATTCCAGTGTTCCCCAATGGCCTTTCACTTTACTAATCTGTGGCCGTACCAATTCAGGAAAAACTAATGAGGTTCTCAATCTCATGCTTAGAAATAAGCTTTATCGAATGTTTAATGGGAAGAAAGGAGGGACGCGCTATATCAAGTGTGATGATTTGCTTCTCATCGGCCATAATCTTAAGGAGCCGAAATATATGTACCTCAAATCGGCATTCCAGATAATTGCAAATAGTCCAAAGCCATATCGTGAAAATATTACATTCCGAGAATTGAAGCCTAATAAAATCCCTAAGGTGGATTCGTTTTCTCCAGATAGAGGTACAGTGCCTATATTCGAAGATGTATGTGCTGATCCAAAGAAAGTGCAAGAGAAAATTATTCCTTATTTCATTGAAGGACGCCATTACAATGTCAGTTCGATATATGTATCCCAGAGTTACTTCGACTGTCCGAAGATAATACGAAAAAATCTCACACACGTCTGTCTATTCAATGGATCGTGTACTGCGGACGAGCTTAGCAGAATCGTGCGTCAATATGCTAATGACTGGCGTAGTGTAATTAAGATTATTGACAAGGCTTTATGTGAACATAAATTCATTGTTTTCGATCTAACTGTACCTAGAGAGCATCCAAATAGGATACGTCTTGGTTGGGAACAAATTCTCACTAATGAGTAGAATTTTCTTAGGTACTAAGGACGAAATGTATATTTTTTCCTGGTTTCTAGATCATATTCAGATTCATCACGCCTCTTCGCCCATAATTTCCTTTCATGAGTACTAGAATATATTTCCAGTTCTATAGTCACATCACTATGCTTCATATTGGAAAGGATCTGATCAACAAGAGAGACAATTTTTCTATCTTTAACAGAAATAATATCCTCCAGATTCCGGCATCTATTCTCTAACAGGTCAATGGACTTTTCAGCTGATGCAATAGCTTTTTTCGTATCAGGAATTATACTTTTGAAGAAAGCTACCGAATCTGATAATTGGCTGACTTTCTCACCACTCTCTTCCAAAGACCTGGTCATGGCTACCTCACGAGACTTATATTGCTCTTGCAAGTCAAGAAGCTCTTCAATCTTTTTTTCCAATACCTGCTTTGATATACATAATTCCTCATTTTCTTGCCTTAACGAAGTTTCACAGTCACTAGTAATGGGCTTCATCTTCTGACACTCTTTTTGCTTAATATAATTTCCAACAGCCTTATTTAACAAATCTTCCACTTCGGGATGGATACTACTTACCTGTTATATCGATAATGGATGTTTTCGTGAAGTAAGACGTCGCCATATATCTATTTTGATAGAACGAGGGAGCTGGTTAAGTTGCTTTGAGTAATATACGTGAAAAGTTGGTGTTAGTATACCGGTCATTGTTACCATAAGTAACTAATAAAAAATTTTGAGAATTTTATAGATTCAGAAATTTTATAAGAAAAATTCTGAGAATCTAAGAATTCTGAGCATTCTGTCACCCACATAGACGAAGTCTACCAGGATATAGTCATACGCGTCAATATCGCGAAAGATCTGCTAGAAAACTCCGATCAAAAATGCACATGACACCCGACCATTGATCAGCAAGAAAAAATCATTTTGGCAGGGGTACCCCAGCGCTGAAGAAATTTTGCCAAATTAATACATGATCATATTTTTCGTGATACAGATAACAAGTTTTTTATTAATTCATTTTGCGATAGCATGTCTTCCAATTTCGCAACTCTGGTCTTAAGCTCACCATTTTCGGCCATGATTTTATCATTCTCAACCTTAAGCTCGCTAATGCATTGTTTCAATGAATCAGTCTCACCAGGACCATCTATTTCAGATTGCATGCTTGCGTGATGTAGTATTATTTATGCTTTATATAGGTTAATATTCAAAATACACGTGACTTGATCTTTCCTCACGGCCCGTAAGCGAAATTTGCCAAGAAAAAAATATTATATAGTACACTTGCTTTATTAATAATATAACTTAATAAAAATTACATGTACAAAATCTCTATTCTATGAATTTTTTGGTGTCGTAACTGTTACTACCATTTCACTAGAACTATGCTCACTATCCCCAGAGTCAGAACTATATAATATTTTGTGAATTGTACATGCGACGGCCGTTCTCAGAGTCATCAACGCATGTATAAGCGGGTATACGGCACTTGGGGAAGTCATATGTAATGGAATTGTTGCTTCCTCTATTAAACAGTATTTATAAATACCCGATTCTTTTCGCATAGCATAAAGTTCTATAACATCGCCTAAAATAAAAGCAACATGATTATTCACTATTGGTTTGTAATACAAGAGCAGGAGGTATAGTATGGCCGAAGAAAAGTAAAAATATAATGCATTACCTGCGATGTTAATAGCAAATATAGTCAAATTCTGCCTCTTGGAAAATTGATTGAACATTCTTTTGATCTTCGATAAAATCCTAGTAGTATCAATAGAATCCTTGGATAATCGAATTAATTTTTTATGATCTCGCCGGCGTTTATCTTGGCTGGAATTTGGCCTACCAGTTTCAAGATATACTATTTCGAGTTCTGCATCTTTTCCTAATTGCGCTATGGTCATATAATCAGGCTTTCGTGCAAACTTGCGAGATCCTTTTCGTATAGTACTAGCCGAACTTCCCTCTTCACCCCTATTTAGAAAAACCATTAAATAAGAAAAAGCACGACAGGGGGAAATATTTTATAGGTGATACTAGGCGCTTACCATATATCCCATACAACAGGATTTCCAGGCAAATCACTCATTACTATATTTATTAATGGCGCGAGTACTTCACAGACGTATGACCCTTCATTAACCGATTTCCCTTTCTTTGAATAGGCTTCATACTTAGGTGATTTCCAAACTTTAAACCTAGAAAAGATCCCACCCATTTATATTATTCATGAGTAGTAAGCAAACACATAGAAGAAGGCAGAGTATAGGGCGAAAAATAATAAACTTACAAAGATTCTAGAATTCATCTTGTCGTATCTTGAAGCCTTTCAGAGCTATCTAACCATTTTCCAAATCCAACATCACGCAAATCCTCATCTTCATTAATCTTTGATTCTTCGTTCTGGATAAATTCTTTACAAGTGTCTAATATATCTTGATTCTGTTCTAACTTATATTTTTGAAACGGTTCCTTAAAAATATCGCAAAATGACTCAGGAATGTTTATGAAAGGTTCTGATTTGATATCGAGGACCCCCGAACATATTGGATGATCAAATCCAAGATTTTCTACATTTATATTATTAAGTTCCATTTCTATCCTCTCCCACATAATTTTCTCATAACCGGTGCTCTCATTCATAAGTTGCCCAACGTCACGTTTCAAACACCGTAAATTTGCATTCGCATCGTTAGGCCACGTCTCAGCATCAATTACCAGAGCTTTCATTTCTGTTAGAGAACATAAATCTTTGAAGGCACTTGCAACCTAAATATAATTAGCTTAGTTTAGACTTAACAAATTTTGTTAATTAAAGTGAATAACAAATCGCGGGATCAGATTAGGTTTCCATTTTCATAAACTATCAAAAAATGCAGGCAATGAGCTCAATGATCAATATTCTGTGAGCACATATAACTAGCTACTGCCATGCGGGAAGTGATGATATCACAACGGACATTAGCGCATTCACTAGCATATATGCAACGGGATCCCACTATGTCTTTAGAAAACCTAAAAAATACACGTCATCATATCCATATATTTATTATAAAAATAATTCATCGCCTTACCCGTTTAACTAATTTTTTCCCGGTACCAAAACTTTGAAGTTTCTTTCTTCGCTCGACATCTTCTGAGAGGACTCGTTCTAAGACTCTTTTCAAAACATTCTTAAAATTCTCCACCTCCTTTTCGAGAACGCCCGTCCATTCGCCCTGCTCTACTCGTACGAATAACGCTGTAGAGATTCTGACAATATCAAGAGGCTCTCTCTTTAAAAGGAATTCTTCCATGTTTGATAGAATAAAAAGTTAATATTAGTGTAAAGCTTGCTAGGCGAAATACAGTAAAAAAAATAATGTATGGTAAATTTTCAATACCTTTTCGCCATACTGTCCTTTTAAATCTCCATTCATGTCCTCTCTAACTCGCATTCATGTTGGGGGAAAGAGATAGGAGAAATATGCAAGGCACTTTACGCCAAAATTTTGTGTTAGAGAATAAGGGCATGTGGAATGTGCATTGAAGATCTCAACATTTACAAAGGCGTTGAGGAATATGCATATACATACTTTTTTTTATTTCACTTGCTCGACCGCTCAGTAATAAAGGCCTAGTAACATTATATAAATATACTCTGGTCGGAATCTAGTAGGAATAGCCTGTAGCTCCGAAGGAAATAAACTCATAAATAAATGCATTCAGATAGATAGGAAAAAAATTCGAAGTATTTTGGAGATCGATTTCTTATGTGTGAAAATTGTATCATCTATTACATCATATGCACTTTAACGAGGATCGAAAACGTGCTAATTTATGTCGCACACGCCAACATGCATTGTGACTGGACAATATATTATTTTATTAAGATAATATTCGGGATCTGATGATCTGAAAATTCAGGCGACACATTTTATTTTATTGCAAGAATTATAATCCGATACGCTCACAGATTGATTTTATACACCATGAATCAGCCTTATATTTCTCAAATTCTGTAACTCTAATGAGATATTCAATGTTATCTTTATCAATACGATAATATTCAGGATTCTGTAGCCACTTTAACTGGTTAGTCCAATCTGAACCTCTAACGATTATATAGCCTCGCTGGTATAATATTTTAAAAACAATATCATATGTTACATTAGCTAATCTCACATATAATTGATTTTTCTTCTCAAATTCCCAGTCAAAATAAGGAATGCAAGAAGTTATACCTAAATACTTCTTATCATCAGGAGTACCATCATTCCTCACCGCCTCCCAAATCCATTTTGCCAAAGATTCAGGTCTCTTCTTATAATTCCTATAAGCTCGCTGGATAACTGTTGCATAGAAATTTTCAAAGCCGTAATTATAGTATTTAGGAATCAAGAATCCCCAAGATCGCTTCATTAATCTTCCTGAAATACTTCACTATAATAGTTATACAATATTGGAGGATCTAATCCAGAATAGACGGATCATGCATAGTGTCTGCAGGTGATACATTTCACAATTTCACTAGACAATCATGCATGCAGATTATATAGCCATTCATTACGCAAAAAAAAAATAAAGTATAAGTTATACATTGCGTCTTTAGCTAAATAATATTAATCTTCAATAGTCTATAATTAATATATTTCTCAGTCAGTTAAACCAGTTAAACGAATGTGATTTTTGTACCATCTCTTAATCTTAATGCGGGCACTCCGTTTCGATTAAGATGGTCTATAGATGGTAATAAGTTATTTTGTTTAGCATACCGAGACGAGATAAATATTTCACTTATATTACTTTTGGAATTTGATGATTGACGTGAAATTGGCGAAACCATTTCTTGCCCAGAAGGTGGAATATAAGCTGGCTCGAAGTTTGGAGCACTTGGCATCATAGTATTTTCTACTATAGTTGTTTTAACCTGTGTGTATGTTTCATAGCCAGTTGAACGTGCATCAAGATCATATGATATAGATGCCAATTTATCCTTTTCTGAGTGTAAGGTAGATTTGGAGAAAAGCTCTAGACGAAGACGATTAATTTTAGCCTCTTCCTCTAATATATATTGCTTATATTGCCAGATCTGAAATTCCCTCCTATCAATAGATTTGAGAATTTCTTTTCTTCTTGCATGTTCATTCGAAATAGTATTTCCAGAAATGCATCTTTTCAAGTGGTTATCTCGATAGGTTATGGGAAGACCACCAAGGCCATTTTCAGATATGAAAACTAAGGAGTCACATACACTACAATATATGTAATTTGATGGAAGACCATGGACTCTATCACTTCTTTCAATTAAATTTCCATGCATCGTAATATATCCATTTTTAGAAAGGATTTCTGAATTCTCTTCAAGTATTTTCCTAAATGGGCCACGGATACGAGAATACCACATTTCCGGTGTTTCATGATCACGCATATGTGATAAAGGCCATAATGCATCAACTATATTTCTATATTTTTCAAAGTTTATATCTCCATAGCTTACTCCATGTAGCTTAGAATAGGCTCTGCCATCTAAATCCATAATAGTGTTTTAGTAGATTATAATAGATATAGTGATTTTATAGTTTATAGCCGATTTTAGCTGATTTAGCAATATTATACTCTAATAAATACCAGATTCAAATTTACTGGCCCTCTCATTCAAGAACTTCGAGGTGGATATCTTTTTTTTTCTCACCCGCAGTCTTTAGACAAGGGGGCGGGCTAAACCCAAATTCATTTTTCTGTAGCAAAGAAAAAAAACTTGATACATGAATAGATCTAATTATTTCTCAAACAACGTCTAATTAATGCTGAAGGAGATTCATATTCATTGTAATACCATTCCTGCATTATTTTATGTAAATCCTCATGAAGATTGGTGGGTGTATCCGTTCCATCACTAGACATGATTACCATATCTGATGCTCGAAAAGTTCGGTATGTTGCTTGATCAATCAAGCTTATCCAATTTCTATCAGTTTCATTGCAAAGACGGCATATGGCAATATATTTGTCTGAAATCTGTATATAACGCGCTTGTGAAAGCTTATCTATAAAATACCCAAGTGCTATTTCTGTATATTGGTAATAACAGCCCGATTGATCCTCCGGAGCTAAATATGTAGTAAAATCTGCCTCTGGGGCTCCACGTAATATTAATTTTCGTATCATTTAGTTTATTAGGTACGAGCTATAATTCAATTTTTACATAGAGAATATGTGATCACTCCTTTATTTAACATCCGACATGATCATTATTGTATTACGGTACACCTGGCTCCCTACCAGTTCCTCGATAGTTCTAGGAGAGTTCCAGGAGCTGGCGAGTTTCTCAAAATCACGAGATGATCATCCGCCTTCCTTAAAATAAAGTCCGATATGCAAATACTTTTATTAATATGTTTGAAAATACACATGAACAGAAATCTTTTTTCTGGTGGTAGAGTCTTCAAAATTGCGCAGAAAGAATATGATCAAGTGACCGGCGATCAAGAAAACTACATACAGTCAATTTTTATGATAATGCAGTTAAAATTCATCTCCTGAAATCATGTTCCACACATTACGGCTAAACAATCTGGGACTATTTTTCCGACTTTCCGAATAGTATTATTTGGATTACTGGTATAAAAGAACATGTATTGAGAAATCGAACTGTTTATATAGAGTTTGGGCAAATGCATGGCGGGCTATTGGCATATGGGCATGAAACATTTTACTCCACGAACTACAATGATTTTTTTACAGCATATATAGATCAACCATTTAATCATGAGCGAGCCACAAGAAAAAATAATATAACATGAAACTGTCATTTTATCACGCACCACCTTCATTCATGTATACACATACATATGATTAAAATAAAGGTTCACTATATGAACAAAAACTTTATTAATATTTCGTTCTTACTTTCGGTAAACGCTATTCCAGTGGTCACGTGACAGCGTGAAGAATCTTCACGGAATCACGTGATAAATAATTACATTCATGTCATAGAGAAACGGTCTATAATACTTTGAATTTGGGTAGTAGATAGGCTTGAAATAGCATCGGCGCTATATGATTTCACCCGCTTGATCTTGTTTGTCCCTATCCTTACAAACACCTTATATATATTCCTTGCTTTCTGGGTTTTCTTACGCAAATTTGCTTCTGTAATTCCCGGAAGATGTTGAGAGACTTCGCGGTATGCTCGACTTCTAGCTGTTGGATCGGTAACTGATGAATCTTGAGATCTAATTTCCCTAACCCTATTTTCGAACCCTTCAGCATATTTATACCAACATAAAATTTCATCTTGATTTGCCTTTGTAACGCGTAATCCAGCACGAGTTGCCTTTTGATATAATCGGGCTAAGCTTTGAGATACAGATCCATCAGCATCTTCCTCCTCATCAACATTTTCGGCTTTCTCTCCCTTGGCAGGCGTAGATAATTCTTGCAACAGGGCCTGGAATTTTTCTTGTTCACGAGTGATCCTTGGAGAGGTCTGTCTTCTTGATGAATTTCTTCTTGATTGAGATTCACTTTCTTGCACGTTGGTGTCATCCCCACTTTTTGCATTAGATTGATTCTCAAAGTTATCCTGTGTATTAGTGGCGCGGATTTCATCATTAGAATTAGCTTGATTCTCCGGAGTTCTGGAGATATATAAAAGACTAGAGTGAGAACTGCTATTGCATAAATGTATGCAAGAATGGCCAGAGGCGCTGTGCATGGATTTTGCTCCGCTTACCTATTATCAACAGAATTAGACTGGTTATCATCATCATCCTCAATCATGATTGGACTTGTCGCCTGATCCTTCATAGTGACATGCTTCGACTGTCTCCCCTGACCAGCACGAGAGTCACCTTCTACGAATCCTAGCGAAGCCATGAGCTCCTCATCATCCTGTTCAGTGCCAGTTTGTTTTGTCTGAAGATGATATTTTCCAGAGGCGAGTACTGCTTCTTCTCTAGTTAATGTAATGATTATCTCACACGAAGGGCATGTAAGAGTAAAAGGATTTGTTTCTGCTTGCAAAATATACTTCTCAAGACATTGGCGGTGGAAAATGTGTTCGCAATCTAACACAACGAACGATTGAAATCGATATGTTAAGATTGCTTTTTGGCAAATACTGCAAGGATAGAGTTTCGGAATTCTGCTGGGGATAGTTGAAATCTCTTGATTTCGAAGATAATTTAATGCAAGTACTTCGAGTTGGGAAGGCTCAGAAGTATCTGTTTGAATTTCCGAAGTGCTGGTCGAAGGTTCACTGGCTATAGTGGTGCTCGAAGGTTCACTAGCCATAGTGTAAAGAGAAAATAAACACTCCTATGCGTTTTCCACACCCGTCTTCTACTTATACAGTTTCCCCCTCGACCTGATTTCTCTTTGATCTGCAGGTGAAATAATAGCCCGAAATTAGTGTGAATAGACGCACCTATTATGCTAAGGGTCTGCAGAGATAGTTGCAAAACAAAGAAAATCCCCGATCTTTGTTGTCAATCCAACTTACTGATCACGAATTAAGATTTTGTCCCTAAATGCCCTGCATTAGTATGAGTACGATCAAACTATCAGATCCTTATCAATTCATTCATTACTACTCTGCTATCCATATGCAAAGAGTTAATCAAAGCAAGCTTTTTATTTGCAATACATTGGATAAATTACAAGTTAGCAACTTTGCTTATGATACAGTTGAAAGGCGCTGGTCCTAAAGGAACCTGCTTCATACATGATAGTCTATCCTATTCATTGTGTCTATTCTATTTACCACCCAATAACCTGCTATATTCATTGTTTTTCATCCTAACCCCCGTTTCATCGGTCGTGACGCTAACGATAACCTTGAAAGGGAAACTATGTATTAGCTACAAGTTCTGAAGACGCCTTCTTGCAAATGCTCAGCCTAAACCGAAAGTAAATCTACCCTTAATTGTAATGTCTCACCCGGTGCTTTTCTAAGTAAGATTCGTCTCCACTATTTTCACTGGCACTTTTTCACACTAAGGTACGTAGTGAATATGCCCGTTCTATTTGCTTATTTACATAATTGCAAGGTTTGTATTTATGGGTTGCGAAATTTTGTTTGCGGAAAAAAAAAATTCATTGAAGCGAAATAATATATATGCACTTCGCACGTCGCACAACCCCTATTCTTCGGCAATAATTCTACCGATTCTTTCACATGATCATTTTGGATTTTATGCTCGACCCATCTAATGCTGTTGCTTATAATCGAAGAGGCTTTAGAATGCTAAATTAAAGATAAGTAAATTTAGAGTATTATATTAGCTATGGAATGAAACTTACTAATCGATTCTGGTCTTAGTTCTGTGGACGGAGATTACGAACTTTTGAAGGCTCTAGGATTAATAGATGATGAAGAAGACAACGATGATGAGGATGACAATGATGATCGAGACAATTATTGGGACCCTAGCAAAATGTATACCGGATGGGATTATTTAGCCCATTTTGGAGAAGATGCTTGGAATAACAGAAAAAAATGGATTGCAAAATTATCCTATATTAGAATGCATTAGCTCGACGATCAAAAAAATAACATATATGCACAACCGTCACTGGCTATGCAGTGTTAAAAAGTTTTTATTTTGCGATACATTCTATAAATACAAAGTTCGGGTACATGAGACATGATCATGTTTTTCGCGATATTTGTGACGCATGTAATAAGTTTTTTATTACTACGCTCTCCAACTGCTTCTCTTCCAATTTCGCGACTCTTTCTATAAGCTTAGCATTCCTTGCCTCGAGCTCAGCTTTCTCGAACTTGAGCCCAGTTATCTTAGCCATAAGTCTGGCATTTTCTTCTCTAAGTAAGTCAAGCTCGGATTCCATAACACTTTTTATACAAGCGAAAAAAATAATGCAAATATATATATGCCAATCTTATGTCGCACAGCCCCTATTCTTCGGCAAGAATTTTACCGATATCTTCTGCGCAATTCCCCTTTTTCATTATATATACATGAAGTAATGCACAGTTACCAATCTCACATAACACATGTTTGTGCATACACTCGATTAAGCATGAAATATAAGCAAACTTTATTATTTTTACAATCAATTGTTATACAAGTTTAATATTGTTATTGTGATTAAATATCCCAACCTACACTGCTGAAATAAAACTTTTAAGCAATCGTTTTTTTTGACAAATATTAGGGTTCCGAATAAAGACATTTCGGTAAATAACTTTTTCAGGTCTTTAGCTTGAGGAAGAGTTAGAGTTCATCTAACAAGAACTTAATAACAGATCATCACGAAACATTTCGGTAAAATCGGAACCCTAACAAATATGTTCTAATATTTCATTTTCCTCTATTGTAGAAATTTCGCGTTTGTTTTCCTCTATTGTAGAAACTTTGCGTTTGTTTTCTTCTTTGTACCTAAATAATAACCCGGATTTATCATTCAAACTTAAGTAATCAATTAATGAAAAACTGAATATTATTATTAAAATGGCTTACTTGCTTTTCCCAAATGGCGATTTCCTTGTGTTCTCTCATAATCCATCCCTTTGCGATATTCAGTTCTCTTGCATCGTTAAAATATAAGTAAGTAGTCCCACTTTTCCGATTGATCCAACTGAATAAATTTAAATTGGCGAGCCATTCCACTATCTCTTTATCTTCAATCATAGTATCACTGGTAAACTCAAGGGTTTCCATATTATATTGATTATCTCCAGTTGCATACACAAAAAACTTATAGCATGTTTCAAGTTGTGTATAGTGTATCTTAGCTTCACCTTTGATGTAACCTGATGCCCCTATAGAGAATAGAGGTGCAGAAAGCTTCAATTGATCTGATACACTCACAGGAAACAGATGTTTTGTACAAAGTTTAGTTGGTTCATGCTTATTAAATGAATTTAATATACCCTTCCAGAACCAGACTTCGACTTTCCATTTGAAATTGACAGCTTCTAATAATGTTTCAAAATAGTCGCCATCTCCTGCGATTAGAACTAATGTACCGGGGCTTTCTCTATAAAACGCTTTAGCCATTTTAAGGGTGATAAAATTATCGACACCTTTTTCTTTTCCAATACAATTTCGTTCAAACACTTTAATATCGTATCCTTCTTTATAGATTGAGTCGTCCGGCGAGATCTCGGAACCCACAATGACCGGGATATTCCCTAATTCACGGTTACCCTTAATTCTTTTAAAAAGTAGTCCATAATCAAAAACGATTTGATTATTATTTAAAAGGTAGTCCAGTGGTTTTTTACGGCATATGTAGTACTCTCCTTGTATTAAAAAATTAGAGTTATCTACGAATATATATACACGGTCTAAGGATTTCGTGCCAGCTACATGGAAAAGAAAAGACCTTTATAATTGTGAAAAACAGGTTGCGTTGACAAAACTTATTACGACTCACTTACCAGCAACCAGTTGCTCTACGATAACGCGAATGTGTTTTTTTGGGCGGGTTTGATGATAAGAAGCAGGAAAGAAAAGCACAAGAATAAGTAAGTATTCGGTATTATTGGCGAATATGATAAAGAAAAAAATTACGTTGTATCACACTTAAAAATTTTCGTGACTCACCCGGAGCGTTAACTGCAACTCGAATGTTGCCTCCCTCAACACCATAAAAAGTTTCTCCAATTGTCTGTGCTGTATCAACTAATTCGTCATTTAACATTTCTTCCACAACTCGATTCGTGTTAACTCTCCACAATTTAAACAGGGGAGAAGCAAAACCACATTTTTCTTTAATAACTTCCTTCAGGTCGTCGATGTCATTATCAGCTCCAATTAAGATTTTGAATTTAGAACTACTTTGTAAGTCGAAACACCAGAGAGTAATTTGTGTACCAAGAATTGCAACAGGCATCGTCGTTTTACAAATATTACAAATAGACAAGATAGACTTGTTTGTGATCCTTTTTGTAGGGTTTTTATATAAGTCAATTGTCGCACAGATTTATCTGACTCAGTAGATATCTGTCACACCAGATTACAAAAATCATGCTCGCATGGGATTTACATATTACATATCAGGTGATAAGCGAGAAGAATATTCACGGTACTTTATTAATACATGCAAGTGATAAAAAAAATAAATACAAGCGCGAGAGTACACGATAAAGCTTCTATGCTATAATTGCGAACTTGAGTTTATTGCTTGAAGTGAAGCAAGTAAGACAATATTCCAATTTATCTTGAGAATACAATTTCGCTAATTCAGGTTCATAAGGGAGCTGATTTCCATTTTCACAGTACCATGAGCCATATAATCCATAATTCCCATGTACTTTAATAAAATTTTAAAGTTATTAGAATTATAAAGAGGCTCGTTACCAATTTCATTTTTTTTTTCCTGCATAATTATTTTTTATAAATTGAAATTCCTATAAAAATAAATATTTTAAAATTTATTTATTATAGAATAACAAAACTGAAGCACATAATACATTTAAATGAATTGGGCCAATTATTAAGTAAAACACATGAGGAGTAGATATGAAAATAATACCAAATCTTGATAAAATAATTAAATCAAATTAAAATTCTTTTGTAGTTTATAAATATGAAAAATTATATATTTTAGGACTTGATGGTAAAATTGGTATAGTTAATCAATGCTTGAATTTTCAATGATATTTGGAATTTTTTTTTCGGTCGCAATTGCGTGAGGAAAATTTCGAATTTTATTCCTTAAAAATTCTTAACTGGATCATATTTCGATCAATTTAATTATTTTTGTCCTTTAAGATTGTAAACATATGTTCTATTAAACTTGTTGTATTGGAAAGAAATAAAAGATGCTAATCTTTTTCTAGAGTGACCCACCTCAAAAATAATAGATTAACCAATTAAAGTTTTAACTAACTTCTTAAAAGAAAAAAAAATTTCTTATTTAAATATTTATTCAGATAACAAAAACTAAAAATAAATATAAAATAAATAAATTTTAAATATACGGAAATAAAAATTGTTTGTTTGTTTGCAACAAATTTTAATTTTCTTAATGTTTAATAGACAAGCTATCCTAAGATTTATTATCTTTTATCATGATATCAGAATTAGATGTTTTGTAAAAAAGGAGATTTTCATTTAATATTTAATACCTTAATTTAGAAAATAAGAGTCAATTTTAAGTAATTAACTTTTGTATATTTTAGTTTAACCGCAAAAAAACTTGAATGGCTATTATTTCGCGTACAGCCCCTATATTTCGGCGAGAATTTTTCCGATATTGCACTGCGCATATCAGGTGATTTGAAACACCTCACATGATCTATTTTTACTTCGCCGCTAGAGTAGCTCTATAGATAAGAAGAAAGTGACCAAACCACTACTAAATGTTAAGCTCTTTTTATATTCCGATGCACAATTACACCTAAAAGTTAAGTAATAAAGCTTTATTATTATGCAATTAAATTTACACAACAACAAATATAACATAGATTGTGATTTTGCGATTGAAAAATGTCGACATTGGATTCTAAATTTCTAAAAGCATATTACAAATTAAATATACATATGACTAGTAAATCATGACAATCTTGACATTGATGTTAATACTGTACTATCATTATTCCCATTAGCTGTCATCTAATCTTTATACTTTTTCCAGCTGGCACATTTCTGATATGAAAATATATTAGCCTCAATCTTTCGCTAAACTTTTTTTTATTACGGCCTCTGCTAACTATAGTTGTCGGGGAATTCATGTCACAATGAACGAAGTTTCCTCCATGTAATCTGGCTGAGAACACATCTTACAATTTCCCGTAAATCATTCTTCTTTTCCACATTGAACGTACAAGAGATACCTCGAATTTTCATTTTAACCTTACATATTCCTTGATATTTGATAAAAAAAGGTTTTTCTCGACCTGAACAAGCCCTGGAAAATCTTTAGCATAATTGTACATTGACTGTAAGAATTGCAAACAAAAATCCAAATTACTTGCGTATGGGAGATTCACTTTTAAGACTTTCTTTTCAACCTAATCAGCATAAAAACGTAATAAGTGTCTCAATTTCTGTCACTTCTCGAGGGGTATATCGTATTGGATATTTCGTCATTTATGGTTAACACGATGCGTGCAATATTTACAACTCTACGGAGAATAGTAATTCGATTCACAAGGTTGCTTGCATTAAGTTCATTGGTAAACGCGGTTAGTTGATTTGGTTGTTTTACAGCTTCCCTGTATAAAAAAAATGTCCGGAAATTGTAGCTAAAAACATCCGGAAAATGTCCGTGTGTCCGGAAAACGTCCAGAAAATTGCAATATTCCGGACACTTTCTGGACGCTGGGTCTGAACCCTCCTAGACATTTACTGGACATTTTCAAGAAAATGGAAATTTTCCAACGTCCGGAATATTGCAATATTCCGGACATATTCCAGACAAATAAACATTTTCCGGACGTTTTCAGCTACAATTTCCGGACATTCTTTTTTTATAGGGCTTCTTTGGAACCATCAATCGAATTGAATCGCACACTTGATCCTTCTGCAGCATAGCAAATTATAAATCGAATATTATTAATATCACCTTTGGAACAAATCAAAACTATATTCCCATCTCCAAGGGGAATTCTAACTTTGAACAGTTTAAGATCCTTTGCCGCTTCGCTACTACTCATACTGTATCATCCTTGATTGTTTTCTTAAAAATATTTACCCATATTAAATATATGTAAGATACTATTCAATTGAGTTTGAGTCATGGTAATCAATTTCATGGCGCGTGTTGTGTATAATTAGCTCAAAAATATAAATACCCTTACCTTTCCCTTATACATCGCGTTTTCATGTGAGTAAAGATTTAACTATTTGAGTAAAGATTTATTTATTAGACGCGAAAACTGATTATTTTTCGCGTTTTCGTGTTTCAAACCCGTGAGAAAATCTGAAAAATATCTGTTTGCAATATATAATACTCACAAAGTTTGTACAAAATATATATATATATAAAAGAACTTATTTCCCCTTTTCATTTTATTAATTCTTTATTTTTTTTATATTATTAAACACGTTTTCGGTACTTTTTCAGTGTTGATATACTTACACTAGTTTAATACGATGAGAAATTCATCAACGGCATATCAAGAATTACAAGAAAGTGAATCAATTTTTCCTTATCTATTTATCTAGTAAGGTAAGCATGCTAAGCAGGGGAAATTTTAATAAACAAGCTTACAGACAAATAAAAGACCAAAGGAGAAGAGGTGGAACTGGTTTTCCTGAAGGAAGGTTAGCCTATGCACTCCTACGTTGGTATTGCAAAGAAGGGACTTTTAGTCCCTTTATCCTTTATTGTGCAAGATCTAGGACAGGATGATAGATCTATTGACACTAATAAAGGACAGAGAATCCTGTTTTCTTGAACACTTTGCTACCTTCACTTTTCTGGAGGCTTTTTTTTATGTAGTATGGTCCTTTGGTACCAACCATACTAACGATATTTTTTTTAGTTCTTTAGCATTACCAGCTGAAAGAGCAAGAATATAAGCGGAACAATTTCAGCACCTGTTACTATTTTAAGAACAATTTTTTTTTTAACTGCTGGAACAAAGATTTTGCTACACAAATTTCATAATATCTAGTCATTCATTATTAAACAATGAAAAGAATGGATCAGAATCTGGAATTAAGTATTTTGTCTTAATTTCTGTTAGACTAATTGTACAGTAATGTGTAAGTAGGTTTAAATATTATGATTTACATGAAGTTGTGAAGTTTTTTTTTGTAAAATTAGAATCAATTTCTTTCCTTTCCTTTAATTTACAACGATAATTTCCGCATTTTTGTGTGATAAAGTAATCATGTCACATTCGTCACATTCGAAATCAATATTTGTACGTATTAAAATAAATGGATTCCGATGATATTAGCATGCGAGTTTACAAGTTTACATATTTATTTACCAGATTGATTAAAAATCTAATAATTATAACTATTTGGGAGATTGAAGACCATTTTATCATTATCACCTTTTATTTTAACAATAGATTAATTATCTCGTTCCCAACGGTGATCAAAAATATTTTAGCACAGCATATCAACATATGAAAGGGATACCAATATCCTACATCCAACTAGTAACAGTAATCAAATAGGATTTAAACACGGTCTTATAAAGTAGCATTTTACGGGCATTTTGCTAACTTTTCGATAATATTTATTTATTTATTTATTTTATGTCAAGCAAGAAGCTATCGATGTAAAACTACAATGTTTTCGAAGAAAATATAGTACTACAATAGGAAGGCTAACACCCAAACATGAAAAGGTCCGAGCCCTCACTTGTAACAGAAGAACCACCCTGTTCAATAACACGACCATTAGAGAACAATAATTAAACAACAAAGAATAAAAAGCTACGCTAAAAAATAAAAAATTAGTATGAAGTAAAATTAAGCTAGATATTCTAATGTTATAAGGGTGGAACTAGTTTCTAAGCGGTAGGTAAATTAGACATAAAATACAGCGCGTTTGAGAACATGGTGTTGTGAGCGACAAGGCGTCAATGTGGTTATAAAAGGGTCCACTATGTAAAAAATTGGATGATGAAAATAAAATAAACAATAAATCTGAATGATTCTTATAGTTTCTGAAGTCATGTTGTATATTCAAAGTTACGTCGATCGTTGCGTGTCTGATTATTGTTCGGAGTATCTCGAAGAATGATGTACTACGTGATATGTCTTGAAATCATGTTTCATTCTTTCCATTTAATAGCGCGTTTTTTTCAGATATTAAGTTTGATGTCATTAGTAATACAAATTAAATATTTCTTTTGTTTGTCTATGTGAGCCGAAAATATGGAGAAAAAATCGGTCGTAAGCCTGCGGGGGTATAGGTTCGTTTCTGAAAGCTCATCTAAAGGTAGAAGAGTATTTAACGGTATCATCAATATTCATTGATAATTTGTCGCAATTTTCTCTGATCAGTTTTATTAGTTTTATAGGTAGTCGGCAAGGAAAAGAAACCTGTTTTTGATGTCAGTTTTGAACTCTGAGCAAATCCATATAAGTTCGTTAGCATTCCCGCACATAAAGTAGGAAATACGGCCTTTGATGATTTTTTCGTAATTGCAATTAAGAATATCTAAGGTTGGGATGGTTCCAGTAGAGCATTTAACTTTCCATACTGTATCTTTTGTGAGTAGAACGATCATTATTAATAGCCTTGGGGTTCGAATGATTTAGGTGTTCACCTATTAGTCTTTTATAATTAACGATCGTGCCTATGCATTTGTGAATGTCACGATCGATCGGGATTTGGTTGTTCCACATAAGAGTAGCGACTCGATTTGGCAGATGGTTGTGTAAGATTTTTGTAGGAATTGCATGTAGGTGTCCAATTTTTGTTTGTTGATCGGCTATATTGTTGAAAGCGTCTCCTGAATGTGCTTTAATCTTTTTGAAGGAAATCTTCAATTTAAGCTCACGTATAATATAATGGATAGATGTCCAAAGGATGTTGTTGTTAATTTTGCTATAGCGTCTAGGAGATATAGAGGATAAGTAGATAGATTTGTGGAACGAATCTATGACAGCTTGTGAATCCGTATGGATAGTGATTTGTTCATTGACTGGAGAAACGAGTAAAGCTGTGAGAATGGCCATGGTTTCTGCTTTGGTGGATGATGGGAAATATTCTAGAGAACCGTTGTGGTAATGTTGATGTTATCATAACCCATGTAGTATTCTTTAGACTCGACTTCAGATTTATAAGAACCGTCAGTGTTTAACTTTTCGATAATAGGTAATGATCACATGGAATATTTGCTATCACGTGACCACCGAAAATTCACATTCCAACAGCCACGTGATAGTGATTTTTTATGATGCTAGGCGAATTGGAACGCAACAAGGATAAATAGTAAAATGATTTGCGTTTTCCATGGCCTTTGTAATGAGTAGTGAAAGTGATAATGATTTTAAGTTGTTAAAGAATATACATGAAATTATTAAAAATTTATAAAAAAAGTGCTTTTTCTTAAAAAATAAAAATCACCACATATTTAAATAGATGAAAATCATATTAATTTTAATGTTAAAATTGTGGATTATTTAAACCTCATACAGGAATTACGGTATATATTATAATTAATCGTGGAAACATTTTTCCTTGGATTTTTTCCATGAATAATTTAGTTTCATGTTCTAAAATAATTAAAAATTTTCATCATTCAGAAAATTGAAGCTTTAAATGCAGTAGTGACAAATGCATAATGGACCGATCTAAACTCGGTTAGGATTATATGGTAAATAACTCCTGTAAATTATATATTATGTTTTTTTTCACACAATGAAATGAGCTTAATCATTTTTTAGATAAGGTCAGAAACACCAATACCTATTTAAATCGACAATCAGCTTATAATTCGTTTGAATTTTCTATATTCGGAGTTTTTTTTTTTTTGCACAATTAACGTCTGTTTGGAATAGATGTTAAAAACTTAAAAGTGCTTTTTATTTTTATATATAATATCGTTAATTAGCATTCTTTTGGAGTATAAAAAATCACTTCTTAATATGTGAAATTTTTTTTGGTGCAAAAATTTTTTTTAAAAAAGTTTTTGAAAGAAAAAAAAAACAAATTTGTGAGAAAAATTTCTTTTTCTTATGTAAATGTTGAAATATGTAAGGGGAAATTTTTTTTTTCAGAAGAATGTTGAACAACCCTAAAAAAGGTATGCAAGCCATTAAAAAATATGTTTTTTTATTTCTTGAAAATTGCTGCGCCACCAATAAAAAATTTTTATCCGAATATTTCCATTATTTCTCCATGGCTTTTCGTAAAAGTTCCGTGAAAATGATACGTTCACGGTCCGAAAGGAGAGACGTTAGAGATAGAAATCTAATCGTAACACGTATGTTTCATAGTCATGATAACAGTGTTAGAGAGATGAAAATTTCCATGATTTAAGGCCAAAAATTCCATGAAAATGATACATTCACAGGAAAAAACATGGAAATATCACCATTTTTACAGGGTAGGGCGTCTACTAATTACGACGAGATAATTATTGGATGGGTAAAAATATCGGCCGAAGACCGATCCCATCCAATAAAAATATTATTAGTACAACAAAAATATCGGTTCATTATTTTCCCAATATAACGAACCTTTTCAAAAAAATATTTCAAAATTCCAAAAATTCTGGTAACGATAATATATCAAATTTTATATTCTTTTTTAACTGATATTAATTCTCAAGTTTTATTATCCTATGAAGTATTAACGTTGAGAAAATTATCCTCATAAATAATTTTATTTTCCTTCAGGATGTCGGTAAAATTAAATGTCATGTAAATGTATTTTTTTACTTCCCACAGTTAAAAGTTTATATGATTCAATTTTTTATAGCCGTACAACCTCAAGTACCTCACTACTATTAAACTTGCATGATAATTTTATTGGATACTGAAACCGCTATATACCTGCACTCAGGACAATAAGCATTTTTTTTTGTGTTTAAAATTTTACTTTATTAAAAGTCCTATCATAAAATCAATTGGATTATTATTAATCGTCGCTATCAAATAGTTCACGAAAATTCATGTACATTAGTAAGATGCGCCAATCCCTCTTTTGATTTGGCTAATTATACCGTTGGAGTATTCTAACATTTTTTTGGGAATTTGGATAATTAACAAACAATGAACATTTTGATGATGACAATTAAATATTAATCCTCGAATAATCTTTTATCTCATTATAAATGAATGTGAATATTACCTCAATTTAAAATATTTAAATCCGAATATTTCCGATATATTCTATGAGAATAACAACATGCAAACATTTGATCGTTGAGTAATTAAGACTATAAATTCTGGGACTATGCTACATTTACAGAAAGAACTTGAGCGTACCAACTTTTTTTATAAGGTGTCCTTAAAAAATTCCTTAAAAAAATTCCGAATATATTATAAATCACGTGAAAATCCTGATTCTTTTATGTACGTAACAAACTCGAGCTCATAATGATGAAATAATTTTATTTACAAAATTTTTAATGATATAAATATTTCAGCATAAGAGATAATAATGAAGTAATTGATCTGTCAGTAAAAATTACATCATTATTTAAATTAATTTTTATAAAAGTAACTGCAAAATCCTCAAATTTTTTTTAAAAAAAAAACTTATTTCTCTACACATTTAAAATTTATACAAAAAAAAATAATTATATAAAATTATATAACGATGTCGGATAAATTTCACGAACAAACACAACGCGCAATGGATTCGGGAAAAGACTTGTCATCAGCAGCTTACGATAAAGCATACCAGGCATCCGAAACATCTCGAGGTTTATTTAATCAAACGAGCCACTATGTTCAAGCAACTGCCTCTCAATTGAGTGGTACAACGAAGTACTGTTGGCATGAATTCCCTCCCATTCGTTGGGCAACTTATACTTTAGGTGCATTTAACGCTATACCCATTGCAATTTTAATTTTTTGGGTAATTGTCATTTTGGGTTTTGTATCTCTTCCCGTTGTTAGTGTTGTTGTCTTTATTGCCTTTATTTTGGCTGGTTGTGCTCTTTTTGTTTGGGGAGGATTTCATGCTGGTATTATCATTTTTACAAAGTTGGGCTTAATGTAAATAATTTATGATCAACTTCACGTTAGAAATTGTGATATTAAAATAAAAATCCTTCTTTATTTTTTCTTTCCTTTCCTTACACTCCCTTTCGTTTTGTGTGACATTGGAGTAAAATTTTATTTTTTTTTCATTAAATTATAAAAAGTTAATAAAAAGTTTTTTAAGTAAAATGAAAATTTTGATGTTATCATTTCTCTTATACGTTTCAAAAAAATAAAAATTTGTGTGATTTTTTAAATCAAAATAAATTTCCTTACCTTAATTTGGATAGTGTGAAATAAAAATTTCAAATGTGTTTGTTTGATCGTCATTTTTAAAAAGAGAAATGACGATTTTATCAAAAAAAATGTTATGATTTTCATCTATATAATTAAATCATCATTTATAATGATTTGCGTCATTAATTTTTTTTTTTAAACAAATAATTAATTTAATAAATATTATTATTATTATTAATTAAAAATTTTTCAAAACGGTTGGATAATAAAAATTCAATGAAAACAATATATTATCATGAACATGTATTAACATATGATTTTTATAAATTGACTAACCAAAATAAGTGAGTAAATTGATCACCGGATATTTTATTTTTAGATTTTATGAAAAAAATTTTGAAAAGACTAAAAAAAATGTAAATAATTACATTTAGAAATATCATTATTCAATTTTTTTTCGCCAACTGAATAATAAGACATTTCACTATAAAAAGTAAATAAATAAATAAAATGAAGATCTTTTTTTAGGTGTTTGATGAAAATAAATTATTTGCTTTATTGCTTTTTTAAGTCTAAAGTCAAATATTAGAATGAGATAAGACTTTTTTTTTTTCTTTCAATGAAAAAAAAAATTCTTTATATCGATGATGTAACTGATGTAACGCGTTTAATTTGTAATTCGTATATCGCCAATGACGTCGATTAGAAAGGTTTGTGCGATAATATAATTTATATAATTTTTTTTGAAATCAACCAATAATAAAATGTTAATTTATGTTAATGAACAAGAATCTGGCAATTGGATCGAAATCTCGGTTATAATAGTTTAGATCAACACTTATTATCGGATTATCCTTTAACAATTTAAGTTAGCAAGCTGCCAAGAACTTCGATCACGTGACTTCTTCTTCAATCAAATCGTAAAATGATAATAATATAATGTTTTGTTTTATTGACGACCATACATGTATTAAAGCACAAAGTGATAGAATAAAGTAGATAAAATTTAGTATTATTGGCAAAAAATATATCGGAATTGTCGGAGTTGTCGGAGTTGCTTTGTAAATTTACCATTTCCATTTCCCAAAACGTCACGAGCGATACCATTCTTCATACAATTCTTTGACATTAACTTACAAATTTAAAATTAGAAAACTCAAAATTAGAAATCATGTAATAATACAATGCTTTTCCATTGATGAATGAAACATTTTTTATTTTGCTTTATAATTTTATTTACGAATTTTAATCAATCGGTTAAATGATGAGATTTGTTTTAAAGTGTTACACTACTACAATATTTAGGGTATGACAACGAATTTCTTTGTGCAAGAGATCAAGTATTATCAAGTTTTTATATTGTTATATACGTTTTGATTTCCCACCGAATTTAAATTTTTACTACTTTAATAATGGTTTTTATCAACTTTTAACCATTCAGGTTACAATTTCTACTATTGATACTACTGATTCAGAAGATAAGAATTTATATGGAAGATTTAGAAAAAAAGAAAATAAGTATATGGAATATTTAGAGAATGTAAAAGAACCCGGCGCAGGAAAAAAAAAAAATTTAAGGATAATTAAGAAATTGGACTAATAGAAATAAGGATACAAATGTTAGAGTTGTGACATGAGTACAAATATTTTAAATAAGGTAATTTACGTTAAAAATATAATTTATTATATTGTATTTAAAAAGTTATATTTATCTAAAAAAAATTGATATTTTCAGCATTAGTGCGACAAAGCAAAGCTTTTTTTTTTTAAAGAGATGAACTTAACTTTAGCTTCTTCAGGTAGTTACATCGGTATAATAACGTCAAGAAGTTTTTTCAACGGTAGCAATATCATTATAACAATATTGATCTTGTGGTTCAAGATCCATATTCTAATTCTAAACAGTGTATGATGGTTTTTTATTATTGTAAAAATGAAAATTTGAGAAATTTAATTTGATAAATCTTCGATTACAACAATATGCATGACGCTGGAAATTTCATAAAATTTTCATTCAGGCAATTTATTATTAACACGGATAGTGATTTGGATGTCGACCAGAAAACAATAAAGGAATATGACACTAATAGTAAGGATTAAGGAATTATACTAAATAGTTATAGGATGGGAAAAGAGATAAATATCGGTCTTCAACCGATATCCCCCATCCAATAACTCAGTTTAGTTCAGTCATTAGGAATACTGCGGTGACCAATAAAAATTAATGTTACTAAATAACGTTTGATGTCTCTTAAAAAATATCGGTCATTAAAATCCCGCACATTCCTAATCGACCGAACAATAACAAATATTAAAGAAACGAAATTATGAAAGACATAATATTTATATTTCAAATAGAAAAATGTAATAAGATTAAAGAAAGCAAATTTTTTTTAAAAAAAAACAGATCAAGTAAAAATAAATCAAAAAAAAAAAATAAATCCATAAACAATTCATGCTAATAAATTTTTTAAAATTTCAAAAATCTTCTAGAACAAATGATTCTGGTAATGTCCGATTGTTAATTTATTTTGATTATGATAATTTATTTACATTATTTAATTCTTATTCGCTTCTTTTAATAAATGTTTTTATCAACAACAGCAAATCCAAGTAAAGTGGTAATATTTAATTATTATAATTAATATTTTAACGTTATATAATTTACACATAATTTCAAAAAAATTAATTTAAGTGGATCAGGTAAAATATTAAAATTATTAAAATTCATTTACTTTTTAAAAACTTATTTATAAAATATTTTAAAACCTTACAAAATGTACATAATAAATCATGATATTAATAATACAATGGAACTTTTAATTAACATTATTTATCTATAGTTTTATAATTTATATCTTTATTATCTCTGCATTTATTAACATACTTTTTTTTATCTGTTAAATCAGTTATTATTTTTTTCGTAAAAAAATTGTACATATAACGCATATATATTAATATATGTTTCAGGATATATGAAAAGGTCTAATAATACGGAAATACTAACATTTTTAGTTTCAACTTGATACTGTATGTATATGATTGATACATTAGATATCATAAAATTGGAAACGCAGTATTAAATAAATACGTTATTCACTGGCGGGCTATTGATGCATAAAATATTTTATTGCTATAATGAAAAAACTAAAGAAACTTTCTAACGTTTATAATCTGCATTTCAAGAAGTATTACATCAGTTTGAAACTATTAAATTTTTAAGTTCTATCAAATACATTAATTAATTAACTTCTGAACGTATAAAATCCTTCGAAATCAAACGTTGAATGATATCATCACGTGTACAAATCGAAATTCGAAGGAAGATAAATATAATAGTTTGCATTACTTCACTTTAAAAGTTTTATTAGTCATCTTAAATTCGTTATTATATCATTATTGATTCTAATAATTGTTTTTAAATAAACCACGCCAAGATCAATGTACTGGTAATTCCGGCACAGCGAAGGATCTAAATCGTTACTTGAATAAACAAACAACGCTGTCATTAAGCATTTTTTTAATCTACATGACGTAATTGACGTATCTTACAACCATCACAATCTGCATTACCAACGTTTTAATTGGACAGAATTAAAGTTAATGCAACCATAGATCACAATTTTAATTACATGAAAATTAATTTAACGCAACTCGAAATTTAAAATTACATGCATGAACAAAAAAGAGCGGGTAACTTATGAACAGTTCAATAAACAATTTACTATACAGACTCATAAGACTCATGTGAATAATTTTATTTTAAAATGATATTCTCATATAATACAACACTACGTAATTTTACTTACACAATTTATTCTACGTCATCTATTTTAACTCTACGTCATTCAATTTTTTGACCCCAAAATCTAAAGAATTTTTCCTCAACTTTACGTGTTTGAAATTCTTTTATAACATCATCTAATAAATTTTCAAAATCTTTTGATGAAATTCCTAAATGTTTACTAAATACCGATGATTCACCAACAAAATACTTTATAATACTATTTTCATGAGATATTCCTACTTCACCTCCCAATCTTCCTATTATTATTGATTTAGAATCTTTTTGTATATTATTTAATTGATTTGTTGATTGTAATATTACTTCTAATCTTTCTGATACATCTGATCTTTCTCCTATAATTTGTTTCACTATTAATTCATTAAAAAGGAAAAATTTTCTTTTGATTATTATCAAAAGAAAAGAAGAATGATGATGATGAAATTATTTAAAAATACTTAAAATTTCTAATTACTTACATGTATCCATAAGTAGAGTGAATTTAGGTCCCATATTTATTGGAACTATACCAGGTTCGACGAATTCAATCCATCCTCCTGGCTTCGTAACACTAATTTTTTTTAAGGAGAAATAATTAAACGCATTATTCTGATAAATAGTCAAGTTTTTTTTTTTCTAAAATAATAAATAATTACCGAATTAATTCTCTTACTACAGGATCCCATTCGCTACAGGCAAGAGAATTAGCAAAATAGCATAAACGAACAAAATCAAATTCGTTATCTTCAAACGGAAGACCGGATAAAATATTAGCCTGAGTAAATTTAACATTATTTGGTATTTGAGATGGAAATTGATGTGGGCTTAATCCTACGCCCGCAAAATCTGTCGTTTGATATTCTAAAGCCATATCGATCAACCATGCTCCGAATCCACATCTATATTAATAAAAGAAAAATATAATTTTAAAAAAAAACTTTCCAATTGTACCAAAAAGTTGTACAGTACTTACCCAGCATCTAAAACAACTCCAGACGATAATAAAATATCTTCAACAGGAGCAGAATAATTACTTTGCCATAAATATCGCAAAGTATAATGAGGACTTTGAAATTCAGACAAGGAATCACTTATACAAGGTAATTTATACTTTAGTTCTTCATGATTAAATATTGAATTTTTATCAATCTTATCATTTTTATAATTCCTTTCATTTTTATCATTTTTATCAAATGTAGAAACTTTTATAATTCTTTCTTTGATTCTAGAATATATTATACCCATAATTTTTTTTTTTATCGCAGAGAAAAAAAAAAATTTTTTTGAATAAAAAGTTGACGTAGTTGATAATATATGATAATATATCTCACATATAATTTGACCTTAAAACAATACTTGAAACTGTAATACGTTCCCAGATCTCAATATTTATTTTCTTTACAAAAGAAGATTATAATGTATTATTATTATTTTTTTTTTCTCTTATTCTGTAATTATAAATTCTAGACCATTGAATAAAAAACATTGTGCAGCTGCAAGTAACATTGACATATTTATATATATATATACATATATATACATATTATATATATGTGATATTAAAGGTTGGATCTTTAATGATAAAAAAATCATTACAAGAATGAAATAACTTGTTTTGTAATTATTTTTGCCAAGAAAATAATTAATTCCTGCAAGATTATTAATCCCTTATTTTATGAATGCAAAGTATATCTCTTTACCTAAATACAACATAAAGATTTATACCGATTTAATATTATTGATATTTGGGACTTTTTTTTGGTACGTGCGTAATCTTCCAATAAATATCCAATAAATTCTTGTGTTTATTGTAAATATTATTCCTATTGGATATCTGGATTAACCGTTTTTTTTTTTTTCTTATGAAAAAAACGGAAAAAAAAAACAAATTCTTAATCGGAAAAAAGTTTTTATGGTTTCATAATATTCATAATCTGCATAAGAAAATTTTTTATATCACAAATTTCTTTTTTTATAACTTAAGAAAAATTTGCTTTTTTAATTTGCGCCAAAATCTTTTTGAGGAAAACAAGTGAATTACCAATTTAGTTAAGTAAAAATAATTATGCAAGTGAATCTATGTGTATCGGTGTATCCATGTGAAAAAATATATAATATTTTTTTTTATTAATTGAAAATAAACTAAATAAACTGGATTCAAAATAATATTGGTTTAAAAAAATAAAAAGATTCTTAAATTCTAATTTAAATTCGAAATTAAGTCATGACATCATAATTTTTCTTTAATTACTATTAGTTTTTGGTTTTTTTTAATATACATGTATACAGAAAAATTCCAGATATTAAACCGGATTCTAAACCAGAATTCATTTATCTTGAGATTATTTCGTGTTTCATGTACATTAGAACATGAGTATTAAAGGGTACGTATAAAATTATTATGCAAAAAATATTATATTTTATTTCTTTTTGGATCATATAATGGAATATCAAATGTGTTACAGCAGGAATTGTGGGATACGATCATATAATAAACAATTTGATAATTACTGACCTTCTTCTTCAATAATGGGTTCATTCAAATTTACTTTTCTTTATTGAATTATCTTAATATGGAAATCCGAATCTCGTTTAAAAATCTCGAAACTCAAGTACAATCCAAAACCTGAAAAGTAAAATCCTGATTCATAATCCTGAATCTAAATTACAATGTATAAGCCTATTATTGTATTAATTAAAACAAGTAATAATTTATTAGCAATTAGCCATTCGGGATCTACTTTCGGGATTAAGAGTTCCGGCACCCGTTTTACCCCGCCCCGAGTCGTCTCCAAGATAGGGCGCTTACAAGTTACAACTCACAAGGCTAGTTTAAAATTGGTGCTTACAAGATATAACAGGATTTACGAATTTTCGTTACTCAATTACTAATGAAGATCGTGAATTAGGAATATAGGAATTTTGTTAAATTACGTTTAATTTATTATCGGATATACATATAATATAAAATAATAATAATAATAATAATATAAATGTTTTATTATCCAGAAAAGTCAAAGGTTTATGACACTAAATATTCAATGAAACAGAAAAGTAAGTAATTATTGCGAGGTGCATCGACTACTTATAGGTTAAAACTCATTTCAATTCGATGTAAAAGAAGTATAAAATATTAAATATTAATTTTTAATTTTTTTCATAATTATGATTTACAGTAAAAAATGTTTTTAAAGGAAATTTTGTATCATGAGATCATCAACAAATAAACAATTATATGTATTTGTGAAATTAATTTATTGTTGAATAAATTGAATAAATTTTAAATATAATTGCTGCAGGTATGGCAGAAATTTACTTTTTTTGTCAAAGAACGGTAAGCATTAACATTTATTGATCACTTATCATTTGAATAAATTAATTATCTGTACGTACAATCAACTCTCTATAAATGTATCCTCTATAAGTGCATTCCCTTAGATCTCTAATTATTAACTCTATTAACTCACATCCTCTTTAATGCACGATTTTTTATGGTCCCATCTATACTTATTTTAATAGAATAATATTTTTTTTTTATTTTTTTATCTTTTTTTTATTTATAAAAAAGGGAAATGTATCTATGAAATAAAAAACATCACCATCAACCTATTAATTTATCAATAAATATACCCCAAGTACACATACAGTATATAGTATATATTTTTTATTCGACTTTACTACCAATACCTTTTTCGTAATCTCTTACATCTCTTACTTGAGGAACTATACAATATCTATAAACAACTCCAACTATCAAAGAAAGAATAATTAAAGAAACAATTGGATGTTCAATTATAGTTTTCTATATTATAAATTAAAAAAAGAAAAAATTGAAGAATAAAGTTAGAAATTGCATTTTAAATCATTAAAGATATATATTACTATTTAATAAAATTACCTGTGCATGCTCTCCGTATGAAAACATATCCTAATTAAAACAAAATGTAAATTAAATTAATAAATTTAATTTATAACTTTAAAAACGTATTATTCGAAACTTACTCTAAATGTCTTCTCGATAAATCCCATAGTACTTTTTCCAACTAAATAACCTTTCTTTGCATCATGAATAGATTCTAAAAGTTGCTCTTGATCTATTAAATTAATTTTATCTCCTGATCTTGAAGTATCATAATATTTATTTGACTAAAAAAAAAATTTTTAATAAAGAGATTATGAGTTAGGGTACAATTTTCCCTCATAAAATACATGATTTTTAAGCTCACCTGAGGATCAGCAATTATGACAGCAGGTAAGTCTTTTTTATTCAATCCATAAACTCCATATATATAATCACTCCATCTAGTTCCATCTAACCAAGCAAATATCACACTTCTCCCATCTTCACTTCCACCCCTTTCTTTAATTTGTTGATAATATAACTTAGCAATATTCTTTAAACTCTTTTTCGCTTTAATTTGTGTTCCTTCGAATGATCTAAAAACTCCCAATACTACTAATCTATCACCGCCTAAAATATCCTCATAATTCTCTGAATCCATCGCTGGCACTAAAGGATATTTCTCTGATTGTATCCAATTTTTAATAATATCACGACTTAAAAATGAGTCTAATGATACAGAGGGATAATTCTTTTGAAGTTCATCCTTAAGAACCACCAAAGCTGGAAGTTTAACTATTTTTAATTGTGCAGTAAGATTAGGATCTTTAGAAGAATAGAATTTTACTGAGAAAAATGATCGCGACAATCCCTTAATTGTTTCCTAAATCAAATAAAAAAAGAATGTTGCGTTAATTAATTTGTGATGCGCTTAAAATGATATAATAATAATAATAATAATGAATAATAAATATTTACAAGGATACTAAAAGGAGTATTATCGTCATAAAGATAAATAAAAAGTACATCGTCCATTTTTTTGATCCTGTCAAGATCTGTTACAGTAATGTCTAATACACGAGCATAAGCTGCCTTTTCAGCAAAATCTCTGAGACTACTTAATTGTCTAGATCCTTTATATTCAATTATGTCATTAGGGCTTTGTAATCTGTGTAAATTTGATTTATCAATTAAAAAATAATATAAATAAAATAAATTTCAAGTAAAACAGAATAAATTAAGGATACAATTTCAATGTTGGATAACCTTGAACTTTAAATCTTTGACAAAGACCTAAAACGTAATAAATTAAAGTTAAAAATACGCCTTTTTTTCTTTCTGTTCGAATTTAAGTAGACTATTATATTACCTGAATCAGCAGTACAATCAACTTTACCAATATTTACTTTATATTGTAATTCATGTCCCAATTCTTCCCAAGTAGGAGCTAATTTTTGACAATGTGTGCACCAAGGTGCAAAAAATTTTATAAACCAAATTCCAGTCTTTGTTAATGAATCAAAATTACTAGCATTTAATAATACAACAGTTCCAAGTGGATTTGCTTGAGCTGGAGTTTCTTTATTATCAGAATCGACATGGACATTAATATTCGGATCCTTAAAATCTTCAATTGCAGGTGTATAATATTGATCTGCTTTAGATTTTGCATATGCTGTTAATGAATCAAAGTTTCTTTTGTCACTATACGAATCAACTTTTACCCCTTCGTTATATCTATTAAATTAATAATTATAGCAAAAAAAAATAAAATTTTAGTAAAAATTAAGACAATTTAATAATAAAAAAAAATAAATAAATAAAATAAAACAAAATAAAATAAAAATAATTTACAGATGCATTGTTGGATATCTTTCAATATTATTTGCATCACAGAGATCTAATAAAAATTTAATCTTATAAATTAAGAATAATTAAAAATAAATTAAAACAATATATTTTTCCTAACCTCCATTAAGTGTGCAGTCAACTTCAGCGATATGAAAGTTCTTTGATTCTAAATAATCTCCATTTTCAACAGCTACCTTTGTCCATATTGGAGCTACATAAAATAAAATAAAATAGATTTAATTTCATTATCATTCATTATAACCAATTTTTAAATAGATGAAAGAATAATTTTACAACAAAAAAAGGAAAAAATATTTTTACCAATAGACTGACAATGAGGACACCACGGAGCAAAAAATTTCACGAACCTATTACCAAATTGTGTTAGGTTACATAATATATGCGCATAATTTTAAACGACCAAAAGTGAAATAACCATACCAAGTTCCTTTCTTTATAGTTTCTTTAAAATCCGTGGCACCTAAAGTTACTACTTCAGAACCTAAAACTCTCGTAATAGTAACGATAAGAATCGTTACCAACCAAATTGGCAACTTCATTTTTTTTGGGATAATGACTGAACTTTATATTCTTACAATAATATACAATAAATCGAATCAAAACTTTACGGTAAAATAAAAAATTGACGAAAATAATTGAAAAAAAAATATACAAATGAATACCTTTCTGATCAAATATTTTCGAAGTAATCAAAAATACTTTTACAAAACAATACATAAAGTATAAATTATGAAAATTAGTTCAAACGTCTAGGGGTCTCTAAATATATAGATCGAAAAATTAAAAATCGTATATTTGGATATTTTGGATACGTGGAAATTAATAATACAATGCGTAACATTTATTTTTTCATAAAGGAAATGATCAACAATAAGTATTTTTTAAACTTCATTTGATCAGCGCATACATGACTTTGACTTTTCTACTGCTTGAATTTTATTCACTGCATCACTGCAACTGTTACTCGTGTCTGCAGCAAAACGATGAACTTTTTATATCAGGTTTTCTTGAAAATTTACATTTTCTAATAAATTACACGTCATTATGATATTGCGGACGGCAATGAAGGTAATTAATTGCATAACTTTCGAAATTTTGAACATAGTATAAAGTGATAACCATTTATAACATTTTATGTTAGTTCGCATCTACGTCATTTAATAACTCGATAAAGAAGAGTTACAATCCAATGTGTCCATTTTTAAATAAAAAACTTTTTAAGCAAAACATTTCGTGTTCATACTCAATACATCATGATTTACCTTCCAAAGTTCTCGAGCTTTACGAAGGAATAAAAATGAAAGATCGTTATTGTTTGGCGAAAGCGATTACATTAGGTTTGTAAAAATAATAATATTCACTTCATTGTGTTTGTGAGATTTAATAACGATTTCTTTTGTACGTAGTGGAATCGATACGTAAAGATCATAAAACTCAAGCTCAACAATTACTTTCTCTAATACTTGACACACGACATGAACGTGCAAAAGAAACTGGAGATTCTATATCAACATTCAGGATAGGATTATCTGGTCCACCAGGTGTTGGAAAATCAACTTTCATTGAGCGATTTGGAATGTATGTTCTTTCTCAGGGACATCGTGTGGCTGTCCTTGTATGTTACGGTATCTTAATTTCATAGAATTTTATTGTAGAAATATTATTGCATACTTATACTGCTTAAATTAAGGCTGTTGATCCATCTTCATTGAAAACTGGCGGATCAATTATGGGAGATAAGACAAGAATGCCTGAATTATCACAACAAGATAACGCATACATTCGTCCTTCAGCGAGCCATGGTACACTTGGTATGTTAATTGCATATTCCCTTAATGATTCTATTTATGTAATTTAATTTAATTTATTTTAATTTTATAGGTGGTGTAAGTTCTTTAAATTATTTAACTCAGTTTTTTTTTTTTCAAAAAAAAAAGCCAATGTTATATACAATACTTTAATAGGTAGCCCGTAATACAAACGAAGCTTTAATCTTATGTGAAGGTAGTGTAATTAAATCATGTAAGGTCATAGTCCAAAGAAAGGGAAATTGATTCTTTTGAAAATAAATACTCTACAGCTGCTGGGTATGATGTGTGTCTTGTAGAAACAGTTGGAGTTGGACAATCAGAAACAATGGTTGCAGAAATGGTTGATATGTAAGTAATTTTCTGGTGAAAATATTACATATTGAAACAATATATTAAAATCTATTATTGCATTTGTAGGTTCGTTCTGATGGTCCCACCAGCAGGAGGAGATGAGATACAAGTAAAGAACTTTTTTAATTTCAGATGCTCATATTAGAAATTATAATATAGACTGTTTTCTCTGTAGGGGTTGAAAAAAGGTATCGTTGAAATTTCTGATCTAATAGTTGTCAACAAGTCGGACGGTGTATTTGCTAGTGCTGCAAGAGAGGCTGTAACTGAATATACAAGTGCTTTGAAATATCTTCATCCGAGTTCTCCTTTTTGGCAACCTCGGGTAGGTAAAAAAAGGAAGAAAAACATTCTAATAGTATGTATAGGTATAATTTTGCTTTTTGACTTAATATGTAGGTAATAAAAGTTTCGGCTAAAACAAATAGTGGGTTGGATGAATCTTGGAAATTTATGCAAGATTATTATAATATTATGAAGGTAATAAATAGCGCGAAAATTTTTAAAGTAATATTCTTACATTAAATCTATTTTATTTATTATGATATTATTTAGAGTTCAAATGAATTATATAAAAGAAGAGGTAAACAAAGAAAGTTATGGATGTGGAGACAAATAACGTCAGAATTATTAGATAGGTATTTATTTAAAATAAAACAAATATTATTAATACATCATTTTATCTAAAAATTTTTTAAATCATATTTTTCAGATTAAATTCTGATAAAGAAATTAGAAATCTTGTTGACGAATTAGAACAAAAAGTATTTCACGGTGAAATAACAAGCGGAATTGCAGCTGACTATGTTGTTGATAATTTTACTCATAAATATAATGTTACTAAAACAAATTAATGTATTATTACTTATAAAGAGTGTATATATATTTTTACAAAATAAAATAAAATGAATAAATTACAAAGGTTAATTAACCTAATAAGTACAATATATTACAAAGATTACAATCGAGAAGACTATTCATTATTCCTGCTTTATAAAGAAAACTAAAATTTGTATAAATATCTAAATTTTTTTTAAAAAATAAATAAATCAATAAAGAAATAAATAACCTTATTTTCAAAGATTGTAATTGTGACCTGCCACAAGAGATTTAAACTTTACGAATCTGCCACTCGGTCATACGTCTAATCTAATTCTTCAACTTTTCTCTCGAGAAAACCTTGTGAAGTATGATGTAATTGTTAAATCAAATGGATAATTTCATTATCCTAACGTATTGTCATCTTAAGTATGATCCTTGTTGAATTAAGATGGTTCTTAGTAAATTGTGATAGACTATCTATATTAGTGTGCCTTTTGCCTGGCTGATAAATGATTTAAAGTCATAAGGTAGATCGGACATATCAAAATACTCGCTATAAGTTTAAGCTCTATGGCTGAAAGATTTATTGCTATTATACCCACACCCTTTCGATAAGATGACCTGTACTAAGCCAAAAAATAAAGATGCAGTTTCATTGGGACGATTGTCAATAATAAATACCTTCAAATCGATTCAGTGTTTCCAGGTTTACTAATGGCAAAGGAAAGAAAGCTTCCACATTTATATTCAACGCTTCTAGCTTTGCAATAAAAGATTTCAAAAACTCTAATATTCATATCACAATCAATTATTCTTGAAATGACATACCACAGACTTGAAGCACATATTGCTTCTCCATGAAACAGATGGAAAGCGTTTGTGTCTCAAAATAAAGCAAGGAATGTACATATGATTGCAAGTTGAAATGCTCATTGAGAAAGGCTGAAAGAGCCCTAAAGCATTTAACTAAAAAACCTACAAATTAAACTATATCCATGATTTTCCCGTATGAAAGTCTCGTGAATCTTCGTTAACATTAAATTGCAGTACGTTTACTGAACTACAATTTTGGTACAGTAGAGAACTAATAAAGGTAATTTTAATTTTTGGTTCGACTTGTTAGTTTTATATGTCGCACAGGAATCGGATAATCTAAATTTTCATTGGACGTGATCTTTGGCCGGCACTAAACACTATTACATCCTCGAAAATTAGTGGTTGTTAAGCCGTGCATATTAATAATTACTGAATTAAGATATTATTAAAAAAAAAATAATAATAATTTTATGAATAATATAATCCAATATTTATTTTAAATTTATATTTAACTTTATGGTAATTAAAAAAATTACTGTAAATGTCGGTGACCTGTCGGAATAACTCCGTCGGCGGAACGTAATTGTCGTTGTTAAATGCTCCCCATTTAATCAACTTTCGGCATATATTAATTGCCAAAATACTGCCGAAATCCAAATTACTACTAACCATAATGTTCTACAACAGGTATAGTAAAAAAATGTGGACTGGATAAATCCAACATTTCTTTATGAATTTGATTTTACCGGTTCTATTCAACCGAATTATTTATCCGGTATCACGTGATTTTTTATAATTACAGCAAAATTCGAAATATAGTGGACACTTGAAAATTTTTATTGTCGGGATTGTCGGGTAATTGGATTACTCGGCTAGTCGGGTTATTAGAAAAGAAAATAACACGGGTATACCTTAATTAAATTTTAATATAATATAATTACATTATATAGCAGATAGTATATACAATTATACTTTATACTATGCCATCATATATGTACAGTATATTTTCTAATAACCGATAACCGAGTACCAGACAATCCCGACAATAAAATGTCCACTATATTTCGAATTTGCTGTAAATCAGGCTATTCAAATCACGTGATACCGGATAAATCACTTATTCGGCACTTCGAGCCGAAAAACTAAAGCTGGGATTCTGGGAATCAAATTTGATCAGTTGATCTCGGGCTCCTGCGAAGCTCGGATCAACCTGATTTACCAATATTGCCGAATAACTATTATTATATACTATAATTGTTTTGTATGTTTCTGATTCACGGATAAAATTCGGATAAAATTTTTACGGGATTAATATATATGTATTCTTATACATAAAGGTATTAAGTGATCAATTTAAATGCAGTTAATAAGCTAAACGTTTTGAATTATGTTACCATTAATCCCTTAATTGATGTTTGCTTAATTGTCCAAAATAGAGCATGCACACTTTTAAATGATGGATTAACAATCCCTTTATCTCACATGTTTCTGTAATAGAGAAGTCACTTTTACAATTTTATAAAAAAGTATTAATAACAACAAAGTTAATTTATTATACCGGATGAAATTTTATTATTTATATAATAAATTTATATTTTCTTTTATTTAAACAAAAAAATAAATTTATCAAATCACCTTGGTAGCTTTACCTGATACCGTGGTAATGTTATTAACTTCTCCATGGCGTATTGATTTTGCAAAACAGCGTCTACCATTATACCTTACTTTGTAACTTTGTACCAATGATGTAATTGAAGATCAATAACTGTTCTCCATGTTCTAATGACAAATATGCTGTCATTTTTGAATGAATGTAAGAATGCAAGCTAATGATATTCCTGCTGTATAGCTAAACAAAATACATGAAACTCCTTTAATATAACTTCAAACTCCCGAGCATATTACATGCATTCTTTTCGCAACTGAATGCTGGACGCCATTTGCTCAAATACCGATCAAATATAAGATTTGCGCATAAGATCCTGACATAATGCGTACTAATTATTTTTTTTATTATATGACGCTATGCCGGCTATGACATTCTAACGGTTACTGCGACATGATCTCAATTGCAATGAAATTTTAATTTATTGAATTTTCAATGTAAAAGTGCCAATCGATGAAAGAACTTCTAAATTAATTTGTTTTAGGTCCCGTAACAGACCATATGTCTTGTAGCACTCTTGTAACCGATCAACATTTCGATCGACCAATACGAATGGAATCATCGGCCCGATGCTATTCCACGGAAATAAATCTACCAAATTAGTCTGCAAATTTTCGGGAAAAAGAGCCCCAATAATAGAAGTAAATTTAGTTATTGGTTTTATTGGTTTTAAAAGTACTGCTCCACTTGATTACTTGTAGTGAAAGCATATCAATTTGATCATCATACGTAAATTCAGATTGATTGTTGATTCCGTAAAAGGTGTCTTAAAGTATAAATGTATTGCGTGTTTATTGGACGGATAAAAGTCTGTCCGCAATATAGGAATTTCCAAATGCATATCGATGAGTTTCGATTAAGCTGATACCTGAAGAAAAATTATAAATATACCAGGTCAAAACTGAATTTTGTTAATTTGTTCACAAACGTAAAAAACATAATCATATATCTGATATGTTATATTTACGATTTGCGAACTAATTAATTAGAAACACACAATTTTTTTTTTTATTCTTTTAATAATAATAATATTAATATTTAATTAATTAAGAAATATTAGAACTAAGCCAATTTATAAGCATAATATAAGCATATAAGAAATCGACCAAACTAAAGTTAAATTATATTATAAGCACACATATATAATAATGGCAGAAGGAAATTCTGACACTGAATCAGCAACCAAAAATGATAATAAATCGGTTTCATTTATTCAATTATTTCGATATGCATCAACTACGGATAAAATAATGATGTTTTTTGGTTCAATTGGTGCTTTAGTAAGTGGAGTTGGTGCACCATTAATGGCTATATTGATGTCCGCTGCTATTCAAGCTTTTCTTGATTTTTCTATCGCTGTGTCAAGGGGAGAAGACGTTGATGTCGCTGCAGATGCATTAAAAAATAGCATTAAAACCCCAGTTATATTACTCGTTGCTGTGGCTGCTGCAATATTCATACTTTCTTCCATGCAAATGGGTTTTTGGATGATCGCTGGTGAAAACCAAGCAAAGGTAATTTTCAACATGGGATATAGTTTCTGATACGGGATAAGTTTATATAATATTTATACCTAACTTTTACCATTAATAGAGAGTTCGTCAGATATATTATGAAGCAATTCTTCGTCAAAATATCGCATACTTCGACAAAATTTCAACAGGAGATATTGCCAATCGTATTACGTCAGATTCAGATTTATATCAAGAAGGTATCTCTGAAAAAGTTGGTTTAATCATTCAATATATTGCCACTTTTATTGCTGGTTTTGTCATCGCTTTCACAAAAGGTAAAATTATACGAAATTACTTTTTTAATTTGTTTTTTTTGATAACCATACATATGTTGAATTTGGTTTTTTTTAGAATGGTTACTGGCACTTGTTCTTTGTTGTGCTTTCCCTTTACTTGCCGGTTCTTCTAGTATTATGGCAAAATTGCTTGCCAGTTCAGCCAAAAAAGGACAAGGTAAATTTTTATTTATTCTTTCATTTTAAAAATAGTTAAGATAAATAAATAAACAAATAATACTCTTAACAAAATTCTTAGATGTTTACGCAGAAGCTGGAGCAGTAGCTGAACAAGTCTTTTCTGGAATAAAAACAGTAACAGCGTTTGGAGGACAACAACGTGAAATAAATCGATACGCTGAAAAGCTTGAAAAAGCTTTTGCGATTGGAAAAAAGAAAGCTTTAATCAACGGTTTAGCAATTGGATCTATTATATTTATCATATATTGTACTTATTCTCTCGCTTTTTGGTACGGAAGTATTTTGATCGTCCAAGGAAAAACTACTGGCGGAGATGTTTTGAATGTTTTCTTCGCCATTCTTATCGGTGCTTTCTCCGTCGGTAATGCTGCTCCAAATTTTTCGTCAATTAGTAATGCGCGAGGGGCCGCGAGTAATTTATTTTCTGTGATTGATCGTATACCTCCTATTAATTCAAGCTCACCTGATGGTAAAAAACTTGATGAATCCACGACAAAAGGACGTCTCGAATTTAAAAACATTAAATTTAATTATCCAGCTCGTCCGGATATACAAATTCTTAAAAACTTTAATCTTACAATTGAACCTGGTGAAACTGTTGCTCTTGTTGGTACATCCGGAAGTGGAAAATCCACAATTGTCGGTTTATTAGAACGTTTTTATGATCCGATTGAAGGTCAAATTTTATTAGATGGAGAAGATATAAAAAACATAAATGTCAAATCATTACGATCACAAATTGGACTTGTTGGTCAAGAACCTGTACTTTTCCCTACAAGTGTACGACAAAATATTGCTTGGGGTGCTAAAATGGATATGCCTGAACCTTCTTTGGAAGAAATTATCGAAGCTTGTAAAAAAGCAAATGCGACAGATTTTATTAATGAATTACCTCAAAAATATGATACTGATGTGGGTGAAAAGGGATCTCTTATGTCTGGTGGTCAAAAACAAAGGTGAGTTTAAACTTGTTTTGCCCAAAAATCGTACCACATCACAAAAATCATTAAAATTAATTCTCCTTCAACAGAATTGCTATTGCACGTGCATTGATTAAGAATCCCAAAATCTTATTACTTGACGAAGCAACTTCAGCTCTTGACACTGAATCAGAACGTCTTGTACAAGATGCTCTTGATACCGCATCAACAGGCCGTACAACAATTGTCATAGCTCATCGACTTTCCACCATCAAAAATGCAGATAAAATCGTTGTAATGTCACATGGTAATATTCTCGAAGTAGGTCGCCATGATGAACTTATCGCTTCTAAAGGAGTTTACTTTGGTCTTGTCCAAGCTCAAGAACTTAAAACTAAAAATGAAGAGTCTCTCGACGAAGACGATGCTCAGAGTGAAGACGATACAGTAATTACTTTTGATGAAAAGAAACACAGAAATTACTTGAGACGTATGGAAACCAAGGCTTCAACTGTCAAATCAATTAAAGAAATTGAAGAAGAAATGGAAAAGTTATCGAACCAACCTGCTCCAATTGCAAGAGTTTTGAAATTACAAAAACCTGAAAGTTTGTACTTGATACTTGCCTCTATTGGAGCCATTATTAATGGAGCTGTCACGCCTTTGTTTTCTTTGGTATTCTCTACTCTATTGAGCACTTTCTCCAATGTTGATAACCCTAGTAAATTACGTCATGACGCAAACTTTTGGGCAGGAATGTTTCTTGTTATTGCTGTAGTTTCGTTTATAGCAAATATTTTGCAACATTATTTCTTTATTTTGAGTGGTGAAAAACTTACAAGAAGGATTCGTACTATGGTATTTGCTCATCTTTTAAAACAAGAAGCTGGATTCTTTGACGAAGATGAAAACAATACTGGAGCTCTGACATCACAATTGTCAACAGACGCAACTAAAGTTGAAGGTTTAACTGGTGCACTTATGGGCAATATTATTCATTCAGCTACTAACGTAGTTGTTGGTTTGGTAAATGTTGTTTAAATTTTTTAAGTTCTATTATTACTTTGCATATAAACAAATAAATAAATAAACTTTTATTCGTTCTTTTTTTTATAATTCATCAGGTAATCGCTTTCATATTTGGCTGGAAATTGACTTTAGTAATTGCGGCAGCAACTCCTTGTCTCTTTTTTTCCGGTTATCTACAAATGAAAACTCTCTCTGGACTCGGTAATAAAACTCGTAAAGCATATGAAGAAAGTGGTCAAATTGTACAACAATCGGTCGCAAATATGCGTACAATCGCAGCTTTGACTCGTGAAAACACGTTCAAAGAACTATATCATGAATCTATCAGACTCCCTCACCGTATTGCCATTAATGGAAGTGCAGTATCGGCTTTTGGTTTTGGACTCTCTCAGTGTCTTTTATTCTTGGTATACGCTCTCGCTTTTTGGTATGGAGGTCAATTAGTAGCAAAACAAGAATATACACAAGTAAATTTTTTTCTCTTATTGTATGTTTTTACAAAATTTTTTGCGTAATACTAAATGTATTTAAATTCAAAATCGTATTATAGCCACAAATGATGAAAGTACTTTTTGCAGTTATCTTCTGTGTTATGGCCGCCGGACAAACAAGGTTGGTTGAGGTTGAGAGCTTAGAATCTTATCGAATGATCATTAATCGATTTATCAAATTTCTTTTCTTATTTTAAAAGTACCTTTGCTCCTGATTCTGCAAAAGCTAAGAATTCAGCAATATCAATCTTCAAGATACTTGATCGTGAATCCAAAATTGATCCAACCGATAACGAAGGAAAAGACAGACCTACTCCAGTTACTGGATCTGGTGCAATACATAACGCCCACTTTAATTACCCTGCTCGTCCAAATTTAAGAATTCTTCGTGGCTTAGACCTTGAAATTGAACCCGGCAAAACGATTGCTTTAGTTGGTGGATCAGGATCCGGAAAATCCACTGTTGTATCATTATTTCTTCGTTATTATGACGTTCTTTCTGGTGCAGTTAATCTTGAAAAAGTTAATGTTATGGATTGGAATTTAGAATACTTAAGATCAAACATGGCTATTGTTGGCCAAGAACCTGTATTGTTTGACTTGACAATAGGTGAAAATATTGCTTATGGTAAAGAAGAATGTACGCAAGAAGAAATTGAAGCAGCAGCAAAAGATGCAAATATACATAATTTCATTGTTAGTTTGCCAAAGGGTTATGATACACCTGTTGGTGAACGAGGTACTCAGCTTAGTGGTGGTCAAAAACAAGTAAGTTTATTGATATTATATATGTGTGATTATGAAATTATTAAAACACATTTTTAATTGATAAAAAATCAATTTTTTTTTTAACAATAGCGTATTGCAATAGCACGTGCATTAATTCGTCATCCGAAACTTTTACTTCTTGACGAGGCAACGTCTGCCTTAGATTCTGAATCAGAAAAGGTTGTACAAGATGCCTTAGACAATGCAGCAAAGGGACGAACAACAATTACAATAGCTCACCGTTTATCAACGATTCAAAATGCTGATTTAATATGTGTTGTTAAGAAGGGTAAAATTGTTGAACAAGGCCAACATTTCGATTTAATAGCACAAAGAGGATATTATTATGAATTAGTTAATGAACAAATGTTAACAAGCAAAAATTAAAATATATTAATAAGAAACTTCCAATTATGTACATTTTTTTTAAAAAAAAAACTATGAAAATTTAAGGTTTAATGTAATAATTTTTTTAGTCTCTAGAATTTATTTTATTTTTATTCTCTAGAATTTTATAGATATAATATATTTAAAATATAAAAAATTTTGTTAATAAAAATTTACTTTTTTTAAAAAAAATGATAACATAATTCATTGTTTTATCGTTATAAATTTCACTTCATAAATTGCGATAACGCGAACGCATATCAGTGCGATTCGATTAAAAATAGAGGAACAAAAGGTATATGTCTTGTTTTTATAAATGAAAACAAGTAGTGTTTGTTAGAATTATTAACACATTTATAACTATTCCGGATCCGAGAATACTGTACAAGAAAAAAAAATTCTTTGTTATACTTTTGATTATTGTAATACGAATGTCTACTTGTTGCGCCTAAATCATCTAACAGATCGCGAAAGGTGCATAAACATAAGAAGTCGTTTGTCCTTTTGCTTATGTGAACGACTGAACCTTCGTCTTATCGCAATTGTAACGTTTTCTGCAGTAAGTTGACCAGATGTCAAAGAAGCTCAAAAGGTAATAATAAAGTCATCTTTCTTAGTAAGCGAGCTTCCATTTGAAATTGGGATATTCAAATGTTCGTTTATAAGATTTATAAGATACAAATGCAAAATTAATGCAACGATTTTTTTGTTAATTTTCATTAATTTTATAATAAAAATTATAATAAAATTCATCATATGTAGATTCGAATATCCATTGAGATTTGAATTTATTTATCAAGTATTTTCAGAAATTCGAATCTCAATTTGGCTTTCAAACGGAAGCTCTAGCTGAAGTATCTGGAATCTAAAATGTTGAAATTATTCTTAAATACTTTCACTAGTATTATTAACCTAAAATATAACGAAAGAAAGACGAAAGTTGGCTAATCAATATTTAAATAAGGAAGAACATTATAACTTTCGGCATGGCGATAGTCTAAAAATAAAATTTATTATAGAAATTGTTTGCGTTTGCTGAAAATATTTTGTCATTTATCTATCAGCTGTGCATTCTTCACTATTTAATACTAATAATCGCTATATTGAATTTTGAATATATGTGTAATATTAATTGTATATAACCTGTTCTATTAATATAACCAATCCAACAGGATTAGTAATCGCATAGTACAATATCATTACACCATGATCACCTGAATATTCTAAAATCGGTAACAAAAATACAATATATAAATTTAGGTAAACTAAAAATAACTCAATCAAACAATTTCTTTCCTTTTTTCTCAATTCTCAGGTTAGTAAAAAAAAATTTTTGAAAAATAAAAAATAATATCTTCATTAATTTCTAAACATTTGATTTCTGATATTTTATTAAAATATTAATATTTTTTTTTTATGCTGATATTGTGTAATTATTTAGTATTTTAGTTATAACGATGTCTTCTATTCTTCCGGAAGACTGTTTATTTAATATCTTTGAATGTCTACGAAATGATTTTAGATCTTTGAATTCCTGTGTTCGCGTTAACCGAATTTGGAATGCATGTGTAATTCCAATGTTATGGAGTAATCCCTGGGTTATTGAGGAAATAAATAATAAGGTAAAAAGTCAAAAAGGGCAAGTTAAACTTATAGATGTTTTTATTTCAGCTTTACCTCAACAATCCAGAAGTTTGTTACAACAAAGTGAACTTGTATTACCAACATTATCTCAACCTTTAATATATAATTATGTGAGTTTTATGAGAATTCTTAATATATCTTATTTTGAAGATTCTATTTGGAATTGGGTGACAAATCAAAAAATTAAGTCACTCAAAGAATTTATGCAAAAAGTTGAATTAGTTACACTTCATTTATTACAATTAATTTTGAAAGATTCTAAGATTCGAAAGTTCATCACATATTATGTATCATGCAACAAAACTACTCTCCTTCATTTAGTTAATATTATAACGAAGACTCCAGAAATTGGAAGTTGTTTTTCACATCTTCAAGAAATTGAATGTGATAGTACAATTCCAATAATATCTGAAGTATTTGAAATGTTAATACCACATTGTAAGGAATTTAAACGGATCGTAATAAAAAAATATAAAGATTCAAAAGAATTGGCCAATCTTATTACAGCTCAATCTAATTTACAAGATGTAATTATATATCATGATAATTATAATTTTTTAATGGAATTAGAAAATCAAAAAGTTTTTGAAGCTATAAGAGTACAATCAAAAAGTTTAGTTCGATTAGAACTTTGTTCTTTTGATTTTCCGATTCATGTACTTGGAGAATTTGAAAATTTAGAGGAATTAAAATTATTTAGATATGGATCTGTACTTACTACTCAAGATAATTTGATATCATTATCAAAAATTTCATTAAAAAGACTTAAAAAAGTTAGTTTTTATAATTGGTTTTTGGTGCATTTAGGCTTCTTTGCTAGTTTCTTTGAACATACTAATGAAGAATTAAGAGAGATAATAATTGGTCCAAGTTATTCAATTGTTGATCGACAAAATACCGGAAAACTTATTAGTTCAATTGGAATCCATTGTCCGAAACTTGTCACCTTGGAAGTTCCTGCATCACCTGAAGATGGTCAACAAGTGAAAAATTTATTAGAATCGTGTGATAAAATAGAAAAGATTGTAATTTACAATATTAAGCTTAATTCACCTCCTGCACGTACAGGAAATTTATTCGTTCAGGAACCTGAGATTAATTCTTCACAAGAAAATTTTACAAAAGAACCCGAACAAGTTAAAGAGAATTTGTTACAAATTTTTACAAATCATTTTTCACCAAACTTAAATAGTTTATCAATAAGTGGAATTGGGTTTCCAATTAAAGATATTGAAACATTTCTTGAATATCGATCATCAATCTCTAGACCAATTTTATTCTATTTGACCTTTGGAATTGATAAGAAAATCACTAATTTGTTAAATAAATATAAGAAGAAAGGGATTTTGATTGAGGATGAAAAGTATTTTAGTAAAAAGAAGCCAAATACTAATAAAATTAGATGATAAAATTACAAGGGGTGGGCGGCATAGAATAACTATGTTAATTTATTTTGCTATGAGTTTCTTTGAAAGTTGGAGATTAAATAAAAATATTTATCAATTAGAATTTATATTCATAATTTTAAAAATTATTAATTGATAACTGAAATAAATATTCATAGACGAAGTAGGATATTTAATAATTTTCTTTAGTCTATTATTATCTGACTGTTACGTGTCATAATGAACATGGTGTGGTGTCCAATTCAAATGAAGCTTTGTTTGGGAATGAATGTTTTTTTTTTAAAAAAAATGTTCTTTTAATGCAATGCCAAAAAGACTTAATTTCGATCGAAATTCTTTTATATAATGTTAAAAAGGTTTACCTAACATTCCCGTGATCCGTATATATATTTGATTCTTGCTACGCAGTATTTCAAACTACGATAGACGCGAGAAAACGGTTAAATCACTCAATGATCAACCATATGCAGTATCAGATTATCAATTTCAACCGGATCAATTTTTAAACGTTGATATTCAGAGTTCATTTAGAAACAATAAAAATTTAAAAAATGGCTTATGATCCAAGTACATCGTCTAATGTTAAGGAAGTTCAAACAACTCATCTTGAATTAAACTTAAAAGTTGATTTTGAACATAAAATTCTTGATGGAACTGTTACATTAAGCCTTGTTGCTTTAGCTGATAATATTAACAAAGTTATTCTTGACACAAGAAATCTCGAGGTTAAGTCAGTTTCGCAAGATGGAAAAGAGCTAAAAGTAAATATATTATGGGTTTAGTGTGTATTATTTTGGAATATTAAACTCATTTTTTATTCATTTACAACTTTACAAAGTTTAACTTTGGTGATAAAACTGACTGTTTTGGAACAAGCTTGTTCATTGACCTCGGTGACCAACATTTAACCACTGGTACCAAAATTGATTTGAAGATAGCCTACAATACTATGAAACAAAGTACTGCGGTCCAATGGTTAGAACCAAGGTACTTTACTTATTCAATTAAAATTCGGGTTTTACCTTTTCTACTAAATCTAACGAAAATTATCTCCAAAGCCAAACTGTTGGAAAGAAATATCCTTACCTCTTTACACAATGTCAAGCAGTAAGAATTAGAAAAAATATATAAGAACATAACTACGATTGATTTGTTATAAACTAACTTTTTTTCTTTCACATGGCCTTTTAGATTCATGCACGATCTCTTTTGCCATGTCAAGATTCTCCATGCATCAAATTAACTTACAGTGCCAACATTCAAGTTTCTCGCCCTCTTAGAGCCTTAATGAGTGCTATTGGAATTGGAGAGGAGGATATTGGTGATGATAGCAAAGTTTACAAGTTTGAGCAGAAAGTCAAAGTTCCCTCTTATTTAATTGCTTTGGCAGTTGGAAATCTGAAAGGAAAAGAGATTGGTCCTAGATCAACTGTGTGGACTGAACCAGAAGTTTTAGAAGATGCTGCATGGGAATTTGAAGCTACCGAAAAATTTATTGCTACTGGAGAACAACTTTTGACTCCTTACGAATGGGGAAAGTATGATTTATTGGTTCTTCCTGCTTCATTCCCTTAGTAAGTTAACATATATATGTGTATATTTTTTTTTAAAAACAAAAAACATTTTACTAATTTGTTTATTTTGGTTAAAAGTGGCGGTATGGAAAATCCTTGTTTAACATTTGTTACGCCTACTTTATTAGCCAAAGACAGATCTCTTGTAGATGTAGTTGCACATGAAATTTCTCATAGTTGGATGGGAAATCTTGTTACAACAGCAAATTGGGTAATTTATCAAAAATAACATTTTATTGATCAAAAGAGGATAGAAATCAATAATGATTAACGATAATCATTTAGGAACATTTTTGGCTTAATGAAGGATGGACCGTGTTTATTGAAAGAAAGATTATGGGTCGCTTGCATGGAGAAAAACAGAGCGAATTTGATGCAATTATTGGATGGCGTGCATTAGAAGAAGATATTAAACTTTTTGGTGAAGACAATCCCCTTACTGCTCTACAACCTGTATTGAAAGATGTAGATCCCGACGATTGTTTTTCTTCTGTTCCATATGGTAAAGTTTCCTTTAAATGAGAGACTAAAATTCACAATAACATATTAACGATATAACAATTATAATTTTATTATAGAGAAAGGATTTAATTTTTTATATCATATTCAGAAAGTAGTAGGCGGACCTGAATTTTTTGAACCTTACATGAAAGCTCATGTTAAAGAATTCGCTGGTAAATCTATTACTACTGATGAATGGAAAAATTTCTTATATTCATTCATGGAAAAAAACTTTGGATCCGAAAAAAAGGTTGCATTAGATACAATTGATTGGAAAGGCTGGTTAAATTCTCCTGGAATGGTAACTTTTTCAGCAAATAAATTTTAATTGTAAATAAGTATACCTTGCTTATTTACTTTCATTTTTTAGCCGCCAGTTAAAAATGAATTTGATCAAACACTTGCAAAAGCATGTAATGAATTGGCTAAAAGGTTCGACCATTTTAATTTTCTTTCCTTACACTGCCAAAGAGGTAAAGGTCAAAAGATTCTATTTAATTGTTAAATTAGATGGAATTCAGCAAACAGCAAAGGTCAATTTGAAGAATTCTCAACATCAGACATAGAGAATTTTACTTCCGAACAAAAGAGTAAGTAACTATTAAGTTATAATTTAAACAATTTATAAACAAAAAATAAAATAACTGTTACCTTTTTTTTAAAAGTCGTATTCTTAGAACGAATATTGGAGTATCAGCCATTGTCTCATCCAGCAATTATTGCAATGGATAAAGTTTACAAGTTTACTACAGTTCATAATTCCGAGCTTCGTTTTAGGTGGCAAAAAATCTGTTTATTAGCAGAATATGAGCCCATATTTCCTCATGTTGTTAAATTTGTAACTGAACAAGGAAGAATGAAATTTGTTAGGCCTTTATATAGGTAAGTCCAAAATTTAATTATTTATTCATAATTTTAAACAATTTACTTAATTCGCTTCAATTATCTTATTTAGGTTGTTGAATAATACCAAAAATGGCTCTAGTTTAGCAAAGAAAACTTTTATTGAAAATAGATCATTTTACCACCCTATTGCGGCAGCTATGATCGAGAAGGATATTTTAAAAGAGTAATCATAATTAAGATATCGTAATTTATTTATTACTTAATTGTAATTTATACAAATAAATATTTATATTATATTTAAATTGTACCATCTTTATTATAAAACTTATTATTCTTTTTCTCAAAATTTCTTCCTTCAATCCTTTTTAAAATTGAAAAATACATTGGACCCCAACCATCATTTTTGTCCGGTAAAATAATCCATCCAAATTCAGTTTCTTCGCCAATTTCCCATCCAGATTTTCTTTTAATTACTTCTAATCTTACCCAACTATTTTCTAAAATTTTTTTAATTACACGGTCATTTTCCAAATTACTAATAGAACAGGTTGAATAAACCAAAATTCCATTAACTTTAAGAGCTTTTACAGCGCCTAATAATATTTTATATTGTTTTTTTGAAAAATTGTTTGATCTAGATTTTTTCCACATTAATAATTCTTTTTGATCATTAATTAAATGACGTTCTGAAGAACATGGAGCATCAACTAAAATTTTATCATAACAATAATTCTCCATAGGAGAATTCTTTACTAATTTAATTTGATACTGATGATATTTAAATGGAATATAAGACTTAATTACTTGTAAAAGCCTATGAAATCTTTTATTATTAATTTCATTAGCAATTAACATTCCTCTTCCTTCATTTTTATTGTTGATTTGTTCATTATTATTTAAGAGATGTTGTAAAATAGCCAAAGATTTTCCACCAGGAGCAGCACATAAATCCAATACAATATCATTAGGTTGAATATCCAAAGCTTTTGTAACTATTAAAGAAGCCAAATCAATATGATAAACATTTAATAAATTACTATGTTCATCCTTTTTTGGTAAAGAAAATTTTGAATTACTAATATAACATAATATATCTAAATAATCAACTTTTCTTATATTATTATTATTTTTAAAAGAATTTTCAATAAATTCAATTTTACTATTATTTGAAATAAATTTATTTATCATTGTACAATAATTTTTATCCTCATTTTTTAATGAATTTAATAAATTATACCAACGTTCTTTACCATATTGTTTAATATAAAAATCATCAAATGAATTTTTTATATTAAATAATTTTTTTTGTTGAATTCTTTCTTTCTTATTTTTTTTATTATTAATATCATTTTTTTTATCCTTCTTTTTAGTATCATTATATTTATTATTATTTCCATCATAATTATTATTATCATAATTATTATTATCATAATTATTATTATTATCATTATTATTATTCTTATCATCATTATTTTTATTATCATTATTATGATTTATATAATTTATATTATTTGTATCATTTGTATCATTATTTGATTCATTAAAAATGATTTTATTTGAAAATTTTTTGATTGATCTTGAACCTTGAAAAAAAAAAAAAAATTTTTTTTTTTTTTTTTTTTTTTTTTTTTTTTTTTTTTTTTTTTAATCTACTCGAAAATAACACCATTTTTTTTTTTGATTTTAATTTTCTTTGATGAAAATTATAAATTAAAAACAATTCACTGATCATCCATCAGATCACATGATTTACATATATATATTTTTTAATATAAAAAAAATAAATAAAATAAAAAGGCGAAAAATAAATACAAATATATATATATATAATATGAAAAAAAAAAATTTCGTTTTCTAGAAAGTGTAACAACAATGTGATCTAACCTGCTAATCTAATTTTTTGATTGTCGCATACGTTATGTATTAATTATTTCTACATACATTCATTTATGATAAATAAATACATACATACATATATACATAGACCTACTTTATTCCAATATTTCTTTACCATTAAGAATAGTAAAATTTGCACCTTCAAAATCATTACTAACTTCTTCATATTTACCACCTAAAACCTTTGATAAAAATTTTTCTGTCATAGCATAAAATGATATTCTATTTTGAGGTCTAACAAATCCATGACCTTCATCATTAAATAATACGTAACTAACTGGGATCGATTTTGATGTTAATAAAGAAACGATTTGATCCCTAAAAAAAAAAAAGAAAGAAAGAAAATTTTTAAGATTTTCTTTATTCGATAATCTTTAGAATAAAATTATTCAATTAACTTACGATTCTGCGCGTTTTACTCGCGGATCATTTTGACCTAAAAAAAAAATAAATAAAATTTATTATTAAATTATTATATATACGTATTCATTTTAATAACAATTAATACCTTGACAAATTAATAATGGTTTGTTAATATTATCAGCAAAAGTTAATGGGCTACGACTTGTCAAAAATTTAACACCTTCTTCGGTTTCAGGATTTCCACCAATACGTTGTATTAATTCACTAATCCGTGATTTCCAATATGATGGGACCGAACTATTAAAAGATTCATATTATTTAATAAGAGGGATAAATAAAATTTTATAAACGATTAAGTTTCAAAACTTACTTGAGTAAAGAAACTAAAAATTTTGTAATATAAAATAAAAATTAATAAACGTAAAAATAATTTTTCTAAAAAAAAAAGCGAAATGATAAGTTACCAAGATTCGAAGGACCAACAATATCAACACCAACAGCGAATACATTAGGTGTAAATGTCAATCCTGCTAAAACAGCATAGCCTCCATAACTACCGCCATAAATAGCAATTTTATCTTTCTCAGCAATCTTTTCATCAATCGCCCAATTAACAGCATCTTTGTAGAAATAGAATAAAATTATATACTGTATGTTATATATCAATAAAAAAATCATTTTAAGGTTTAACGATAAAACTTACCAATTAAATCATCATGAGCTTTTGCGCCCCATTCACCATTACCAGCACGAAGCAAAGATTTACCCAAACCAGTTGAACTTCTAAAATTTACGCTTAAAACAGCATATCCACGATTGGCAAAGAATTGATGATCTGTTCTTAAAGGAACGAAACTATCTCTCGCCCAAGGACCACCATGAACATTAAGCACCATAGGTAAAGGATGAGTAGGTTTATAATCACTATAAGGATCATATTTATTTAATGGTAAAGTTAAATAACTAACTAAATCTAATCCATCTCTAGATTTGATAACAATAGGATTTAATTTAGCCAAACAATAATTTTCCAAATTTGGATTTGAATTAAACAGTAAATTTATACACTTATCATTACTTCTATCAAATAAATAATACTTTGCAGTTTGAGTATCATTCTCAAAACAAACAATCCAAATAGTATTATCGAGAGTTTGAGATAAAATAGTGAAATCACCACCATCTACACTTTTTAAAAATTCTAAATCTGATGAAATTTCAGAAGAAATAGGATTCCATGATGTACGTAAATAATTCACTGAATAAGCTAACGGAACATGTGTATTGGGATCAGTTAAAACGTTGTTAATATCTGCTTCCTGATTATCTGGTTCAGCTACTATATGAAGTTTCTTTTCAGGATCATTTAAATTAATTTTATATATTGCACTATATTCTCTATCACGTGAATCGATCAAATAAATCAATTCCTCATTATCCTCTTTTACGATTGAGAATATTTCAGAAGAATGTACATCATCAATTCCATAAGAGATCATCAATTCCCACTCATTATTAACTTTTCTATAAACATTTTTCCCAGCTTCATCAGTTAATTTACTAGCAAAGCAAACTTCTAAATCATCATTTAAAAAATAACTATCAAATGATTGAGTATTCTCTTCAATTAAATTAATCTCACCAGTTTTTAAATCACAACGATATAATGAAAAAACTGTGGGATCAGGTTTATTTATTGAAATAATGACTTCATTAGGATAATTTGGAGAAAATTTAACAGGTTCAGAAGTTGTTCCATCAAATGGAGTTAATGTAACTTTTTCACCAGTGTTTAAGTCAATCGAATATAATTTAAAATCTAAAAAATTAATAATATTTTTAGTAAAAACCGATGAAATAATAATAATAATGATTTGATTAGAATTTTACCTTCGTCACCCTCCTTATCTTGTGGATAAACAATCTGATGATCAAAACTCCACCAAAAATTTCTGATACCCCTAACTTTATCATTGGTAATTGCTTTCGCAGATGACAAATCTTTAGGATTATCGGTAAGATATATATTTAAAACATCATCTTTTGGTGCGATATATGCCAAATATTTTCCATCCGGTGAAATTTTTGGTAAAACATTTGAAGGATTACCAAAAAGGATTTTACGTGGTATAATTGGAATTGGAGGCATTATTTTTTTTTATTATAAAAAGATGAAGAATTTAAAGTATCAAATATTAATAAAGTTAAACAAAATTTAATTAAAAAAATAAAAAGGAGAAGTGAGCGAAGGAGAAATTTTCTTGTGATATCTTACAAATCAAATAACTCCAAAAACTCCGATAATAGAAGTTTTCCAATATTTTGAATAGGTAATTATATCCTATTTTTGGTATTTTAATGAGGGATTATAGAGATAGATTTATTTTTTTCTTATTTAAAGTTAACAAATTAGGTAAAAAAAAACAAAAAAAAAAAATTTGTATCTGTATAGATTTTTGTATCACGTTAATTGGGTTAAGTCAAACTTGATAAGCAAGATGATGATTTTAAACTTTTAAATCAATTTCGTGTAACGTTGTAAAATTGCGTTTTTAAATCATTATTCAACCAATTAACAGATGGATACTTATTACTTAACATGTATAAATAACGATAAAAAAAATATAAATAATAACAATACAAAGATGTTAATATACACATCTTTTACAATTAAATTGGCAATGAACGATAGTGAGATCTCCAATGCGAATAGGGCAATGATAACATAAGTGAGTGAATGACCGTGACCGGAAGTAACAGACCTTTTTTTGGTAATTATTTGACATATTTGCAATATCTTTCCTTTCTTCTTTCTTTATACTCATAATTTTGGATTTATGTACCAAAAAATGAAACAAAAATATGACAGTAACAAGTTGGAGTACTGAAACATTTAACAGTTAATTAAAAAAGATATTTAAATATATTTTAACTAAAAACATTATATTTTAGGATGAATATAATACAATACTTTAATCTCAAGTTCTTGTTTGTTTGTTACTTTGTTCCCTGCAGAATTTCTTCTAGGTAAAATTTAAGGTGGCATAACATAGTAAATGGTGGTAATGGGGTTGAACGAGACAAATAAGGAAATGGATGAAGAAATCCACGTTGTTTTTAATTGGTTCAAATTTAGTTAGCATATTTGGTAAAATAATTTTTTTCTTTAATTAATGTTTTTAAAATCTAAACCCTAAAAAGAAAAAAGGAATATTATTAGTTTTAAATTTTGGTAAGCGATAATCAAACTGCTAACATATGGACATTTATTTACTATAATGAAAAAATATATGATTGGATCGGGTTTCTGACAACCGCATTATGCAAGATGTTTCAGAGTTGTAAATAAACAATAGTAAAAGATGGTAATCGCCGTTATACTGAAACACTTGAGTAAAAAAAGTATGTTATACGAGAAAATATGTACGATTAATTTTTTCTTTTATTGAACTTTAACCGAAAACAAAAAACCGATAATTAATTGTTACGTCGGCTACGTAACGGCCTTGATTTTTATTTTTAATAAAATTAATAAATATTTATTATTTTATACGTCACATCAACACGAAGAGGCTTATGATTGACTCGATGGCTTTTATAGAGCCAAGCCGTTTGTTTAAAGAACACTACGCCATATTTATTTTTAAAAGTTAGTAGGATAATCCGCACAATGTTCCTTTTCTTACATGATTCAAATATAAAATATGATCGTCATTTACACAAAATCAAGTACCATTTCCATGCTTATCCGAATTTTTTTTTGTTTACTATTACAGTAAAATGTTATATATATATAATCTCTGGCTCCTCAGCCCTATTATATAACCCCTTATTTTTCAGTACGATTTATTTTTTTAATTGTTATAAATTGTACAAAATACAATTGTGTAAAGAAAAAAAAATTATATTTTATTTCTTCAACCCCTATTTCTTTTTTTAAATTATTAACCCGAGTTTTTTTGAGCATAAAAAAGGTAAAAAAGAACAAAAAAAAAAATTTTTTCAATTTAAAAAAAAAAAGAATTTTTTTTCCGATTTTTTATAAAGCTTTTCCCGCCTTTTTTTTTCCTTTCCCTTTTCTTTCTTTTGTATTTTTATATCGTTTATAGAAGAAATCGAAGGCTCCGGTAGCCTTTAAATTTAATTAATAAAATATTTTTTTTATTTTTTAGTTATTTTTTTTTTCTTTTGGATTATTCTTTTATGTTTTCCGATTAAGAAAAGGGAAATTTATTAGGTTCATCCTTTGATAGAAAATCGAAAGATAACACAAGAGCACAAACAAAAAGGAAAAATTTTTAGGGGGGAAATTATCAATTAAATTAAAATTTTTAATTGATTTATTTTTGTTCTACGACCTTTCGTAACAAAGAACAACAAACTTTATTTCCTTTTTTTTTTGTGTAAAACCGAAAGAAAAAATTATATTTTTTTCTTTCTTCAACTTTTTACTCTCATTCTCCCGCTCACGTATTAATCGCCAAATATATTCTTCCTTTATTTTTTTAACGATTAAATGTAAATAAAATTGATTTCATTTTTTTTTTCTTAGTAATTATACTCGTAAAAAAAGGATATTTGTAACTTTTATTAATGAAATATTCATAATTATATCAGTTTTAGAAATATTTAAATAATAATAAAATATGGCTTCAAATGAAACAGCCAGTGCCAATGGAATATCATTGAATCAAAATGATCCTGTATTTAAATCTGTTGGTTTAATTCTGGCGATAACCAGCGGTAAGTTCAATTATACCTTTTTTTATATTTATAATTACATGCTATTAAAGCATTATACACTAATTCAGAATTCTTTAAAAAAAAAAGAGCGCAAATATATCAAATATATCATCTAATTATTTTTATGAAATTATAAATTTTTTTTTATTTTTTTTTATAAAAAAAAAATAGGTGTATTCATTGGATCATCTTTTGTATTTAAGAAAAAAGGTCTTCTTCAGTCTCAAAAACAAGGTTAGTAATTAGTGATTTTAGTAATTTTTATCTTGAATGTTATCTTTTTTTTATATTAAATTTCCTTTTTTGGAATTAGCCGGATCTGAGGCGGGTCAAGGTCATAGTTATCTTTCAAATGGGTTATGGTGGTCAGGAATGATACTGAGTAAGGTTTTTTTAACTTTATAAATAATTCATTTTACTTGCAAGAAGAAATTTATCTAAAGATTTCAAATTTTTTTTTTTTTTTTTTTTTAGTGATTATCGGCGAAATATGCAACTTTGTAGCATACGCTTTTACACAAGCTATCCTAGTTACTCCTTTAGGTGCGCTCAGTGTGGTCATTAGGTAATTATTGAGATCTTACTGTTTTTTATTTACAAAATTTAATTAAATTTTATTATTTTTTACATTATATAGTGCCATCTTATCATCAATATTTTTAAAAGAGAGATTAAATAATCTGGGTAAAATAGGCTGCGCACAATGTATTATTGGAGCGACTGTAATTGTTTTACACGCTCCTAATCAACATATTGCGTCAGATATTGAAGAATTTAAAAAAATGTTCTTCGCTCCTGGTATTTATAAAAAATATTTTTTACTTCACTTTTGTAATCAAATTTTTTTTTTTTTACTAAATCATATTTATTTTTCTTAAAAAAAAATAGTTTTCTTGACGTACGCAATTGTTTCAATATTGGGATCATTATTAATAATTTGGAAAGTAGCACCAAAATATGGAACAAAATATATGCAAGTATATATTGGAATATGTTCATTAATTGGGTCATTATCGGTTGTAACAACTCAAGGTCTTGGTACCGCTATTGTAAAAACAATTCAGGGGGATAATCAATTTACACATTGGTTTCTTTACGTACTCATAGCGTTTGTAGTAATAACATTATTGACAGAAGTTAATTATTTAAATAAGGCTTTAAATTTATTTAATACGGCAATGGTAACACCCGTATATTATGTTACATTCACAAGTTTAACAATAATAAGTTCAGCAATATTATCACAAGGTTTTGAAGCTCCACCAAAAAGTGTTGTTACAGTTGTGATGGGATTTCTCGTAATTTGTAGTGGTATAATTTTATTACAATATTCAAAAGTATCAGGAATAGATACTTCTGGAACATTGGTTACTTCAACAACTGAAACGATTGGTAGGGATAATAGATTAAGCGGAAGTGAATATGAACCTGATATATCAGCAATTAGAGCTAGTTTTGGTAGTATTCGTAGATATTCTATGAATACGGGTAAAACTTATCCGACATTACCACACACAATGCCCCCTTCTAATAAAGAATCTGGTAATTATTTACATAGGAGGAGTCAAAGTCTTAATTATGGTATGTTTAGGAAAGATAGTATACGTAGTGATGGTGGATTACCTACAATTAATGAATCTGATAGAAGTATTGATCGTAAAGCTACAACAAAATCTTTAACAAATCCTCATATTGAACCGATTGAACCTATTGATATAAAAGTTCAACAGAGACCTTCTGTTAAATTTTCTTCTCCACAAACATCTTCCTCATCATCATCATCTACAATAACTTCAATAGACGACAATCTAAAGAATATTAATGATACACAAAGAAAGACTCCGATCATCCATACTACTTCTTCATCAATTTCTTCTACAACTATTACTGCCTCCCCTAAGGAATCTCAACTGGAGGAATATTTTAATTATAAACCATTAAACATAAATCCACCATCACCACTTCAACATCCAATTGCTTATATAAAACAACACTTATCCCCAACTGCTTCAATTTTTTCGGAAAATGGTACTATCAATAGTGAAATTTATAGTGGTAATCCTAATTTAAAAAGAGATAGTAGTAGCAGTTCAAACAGAAGATCTCAAAATTCCATGGGCATTGTTGATAAATTGAAATTGGGTAGAAGTGCTAGTAGTGGAAGTGATGTTGATCATGATGATGATGAAGTTTTGGTGAAAACTATAGAATAAAAGTATAAGACTAATTTAATGTACAACTAATGTACATTATTACATGGATAGTAAATAATAAAATTTTAGTCACTATTTAATGTAATATAATAAATATGGGATGGTTTCTTTTGATTTAGTATTACCTTTTTTTTAAAAGTTTATTTATTATTATTTATGAAAAATTTTTTTTCCGAAAAAAAAAAAAACTTTTTTTAAACCTTTGTAAATATAACAAAAAAATGAGAAAAGTGATGGAAAAAAGAGAATTTTTCATACATCTGAAGAAAAAATATATATATTAATTTAATATTAATTAATAATAAATAAATATAAAATTTTCTTTTTTTTGTGTATTTTTTTTTTGTATTTTTTAAAAAAAATAAAAACTATAATATATTAGTAAATAAATATAAATAATAAATAAAAACTCCTATTTTACAAATTATTATTGAGTCTTGTTCGTTAATTATTATTTTTGAGCGAGGGGGCTTTCATCATCTCATCACAATGATCTAATACAATTGATCTAATAACTTTAATAATTTCAAAAAATTTATTATTATACCTTAATCGGTTTCGCCTATCATGTTCAACGACGTACGTGTCTAACAAGGAAATTTCTTTGTGTTTTAAATATAGATTTTTTCTTTTCAGTTTTCGTTATTGAAGTTCTAAATAATGCATGATGATGTGTGATGTCGATCTTTTTTAAGAATTTTGATCAATTCTTTAATATTTGTGGCTGTGACCCATCGAAGCAGCTTTATTTATGAACCCGGGTTAGCTTCCCCCGAAATTTCAACCTCGGCTCAAAAGTTCTATCCACTTAATTCCATGATAATGTTAATACTTAAACAACATGTTCTTAGCCTATGCTGTAATACTACAGAATTTAAAGAAGCACGACATAAAAATCGTAATTAAACATATGTTCGAAATAAAGTGAATGAAATAATGTCAATATTATAAAAATATTTCATATTTGTAACATCACAGAACTAAAAAAAGCACGACATAAAAAAAATCAACAATCAAAAACATACTCTCAAATGAAACCATATCCATTTAATCCTAAATTAGAATTGTACCATGCATGGTTTTTTTTGTGGCACGCAATAATTTTTGCCTCATTACGTATAACATACTGTATATATAGAGATGGTAGTAGGAAAGAATACCGCCCAAATATCATATCATACATTTTATTCTCTCAAACTAATTGATTGATTATACATGGCCGAAAAATTGGATAAGAAGGCAGCTATCAAAACTGCCGGAAAATTGGATAAGAAATCAGTTAACAAAACTTCCGGAAAATCGGATAATAAAGGATCTAATAACAAAATTACGAAGGGAGTTATCACTACTGATAAATTAGATAAAGCTGAAATTAAAAGGGTAATTATTTATTAAAATAACTTTATTTTTAAAAAATGTTATTCAAGGATATTGACTTTTTCATTTTCATAGATTTTTGATGTCTTTGATTATAATGGTAACGGTATCTTGTCCCTTGCTGAAATCGATAAAGCTGTTATCGAAATTTATCCACATCTTGCAGAAGATAAACCTGCCATAATGCGAGCCTATAAAGCTGCCGATACTTCACAGGTTTCGTCTAGTAGATCTCTTATAGTTCCTTATATTATTTATATTGAAATCTTAACATTCCTCCTAATACGCAAAAAATTTGATAGGATGGTTTTATTGACTTCAAAGAATTCGGACGCCTCATCGATCTTCTTCATTATTACAACAATCTATTTCAAATATTTAAGAAACTTGATATAGACAATGATAGACGTATTAATTTTAATGAATTTAAGAAGGGATATGAACTTATGGGAATAAATGTAAATTCACCTAAAGAACTTAAATCAAAATTTGATGAGATTGATACAAACCGTGGAGGTTATATTCTTTTTGATGAGGTAAAATGAAATTTCTATTATTCTTAAGTTAATAAGGTTTTCAAGAGATAATTGAAACTAATTCTTTAATGTAATAATTATAGTTTTGTACTCATGCTGCAAAGGTAAAATTGATATCCGAAATACCTCAAGATGCAAAGGAAGCTCAAGAAACTCTAGAAAATAATTAGACAATAAGAATTTAGTTATACTGTAACATTTGAATAAATTATCGTTATACCCTTTTTTTTACCTTTTATAATTCAAAATAGTCACGTGATTTACGGGACAAGATTTACTGGGTCTAATCGAAGTTTTTTAGTTTTACACTTTTACTAATTTAGTTATCTGTTATATAATTTTAATAAAAAACTTACCCATTTCATTATATTTCAACAAATTCGTATTACAAATATCACGTGATTTTTTTTTGATTTGTTGTCTCTGCCGATTACTAATTTTTGTGCGCGTCACTCGCGTTTCAGGAGTACGATTGGAATTTTTGTTTTTAATGTTTAATTCATCTTTCTCTATACAGTAGTTTAAGACTTTAAGCCACATTTACCATGGCGACATCCATTCCTTACGAACCCAAAACAGTTGCTCTGTTAGTCATTGATAGCACGTCTGAAATGTGTGTCAGGTTGACGGCGCAGTGTGGCGCAGTAATTTCAAAAAGATTTAAGTTAAAGATTTTCATTTTAATGTAAAGCTTTCAAATTTACACATTAGATGTATTTTCATCTGTTTTACAAAATTCACTTATAAATGGAAGGAGGTTTTGGAAGTAGATTTTGACTTTAGTATATAACAACTGATTTTATCGTCTTTGCCGATCATTTCCAAAATTGGATTTGTCAAAAAAACAGTTTTTGTTAAATAACTCGAAAATGGCCTTCTAAACCACCCGTATATTCTTTAAGTAAATTTGCAGAGCGGACGAAAATACATCTAGTGTAGTAATTTAAAGGTTTTATTTTAAATAAAAAAAATTGCAATTTAATTTTTTTGGAAAAAATCGCTGCGCCACACTGCGCCGTCAACCTGACACACATTTCAGACGTGCTCATTGATATGCAAGTGAGTAATAGTAAATATTCTAAATTCTTTATTTAAAAAATTATTCAAATAACCTTTTAAATCTTTTTCTTGATAGGAATCACTTCGTAAAGAGGTTATCGATATTATTCCAAACGTAAAATCGATTGTTAAAACTTGTCACGAAAAAGACATTCCCGTTTTTTGGACCCAACACGGTCACAGAAATCTCAAGTTTGATGGAGGTGCTGTGGGACGATGGGTATGTGACTTATCGTTTCTTCGTTTTAATTAATTACTTGGAATAACAATTCATCTTTTAAGTGGGGAGATGGTAGTATCAAATGGGGCTCTGACGAATGGAAAATTTTGAGAGAATTACAACCTATCATTTCGGTTAGTGCTTAATTTTTTTAAAAATTACAATATCCTATCTTCAAATAGGTAACCTCCTGGTAAAATTTTAATAATTGACATTAATTCTTTTATTAGCGGTCTTCAACCTCAATTGATGTTCTTGACTTCGTTATCAAAAACAAGACACGCTATGATGCTTTTTATCGTACCGAACTTGGTTCCATACTCACTTCTCTTGGTATTGAAACACTCATCATTTCTGGTGCAGAAACAAATTTGTGTTGTGAAGCAACTGCCAGAAGTGAGTATATTGTAATGAAATTGTATAAGGAGATTAACTCATTATGTGCAAATTAATATCGAGCTTAGGATGATCATGAGTATTGTTATATATCATTCAAGAAATTCAGTTAGCTATGTATATAATTATCAAAGCGAAAGACGAAAATTTATTTGATCATATCATTCATATCAATATTCTACAAATTTTTATAGGTGGCTTTGATCAGGATTATAACATTGTTTTCCTTAAAGATGCAACTGTCACAGAGAATGAAGAGATGCACAAGGTAGAACTTAAAATTATCATTCTTTACTAAGTTCAATGGATTATTAATAAATTTCTTACTAAAAAAGGCAACCTTGCTGAACTTGGAATATGGAGTGGCTAAAATCGCTACTGTTACCGAGGTTATTGAATGGCTTGACAAACGTGTTAATTAAAAAATCCTGGATTGAAATCAATTTATTACGGGAAATTCAAACATTTATCGAATTAAACTATAGAGCTTGATTCGACATATAGTGAGTTGTATTTATATTAATTATACGTATACACATATATTTTTGTATACTAGGAAAGAATTTATTTATGACTATGTTAAGTTTACTATCATAAACAAATAAACACAATCAGAAATTCAGCAAAATTAATATATTAATGTTATACATAACTTACAGGTTACATGTTCATTCCTCCGAGACTTTGTAAACTTAACAATTTGTAACACATGATTTAATTTTCGTCGGGTAGTATAAAATCGAATTGACGCGTACTGTAATCTTTAGAAGAAAAATAGGAAATTAAATTACACGTAAAACAATTGTTTTTAAATGCATAATTCCAAAAACATACTATTGGCAATAGGAATAGTTGGTAAAAGGCGACTAGTATAAATGGCTGATTTGTGAACTGATTGTGAATTTTCTCGTACGGGATTAACTGAATTAAATTCGTCAGCGGTTTTAAATTGATTCGAAATGTTCTCATTTGAACCTTCGAACCAGCCTTGCAACGTATTTGCTATGTATTCTGCTGTAGGACGTTTTTTTGGATCAGAATTCCAACATTGTTGCATTAGTTCTATATAGCAGGGCGGTGTTCCCTCAATAGGCTTTGGGCGTAAACCATCACAAATACTAAATGCTAAATCAATATCACGTGAACGTTCGTAAAATGGCAATTGAAAAGAGGTGAATTCCCACATGATCATTCCAAAACTGTATATATCTGCGGCTTTAGTGTATGGTCGTATACATAATACTTCGGGAGCAACGTACGGCATCACACCGTTCACTTCGGTAGAAGTTTGTAAAGTACTGACATCCTGAGACTGCCCCAAGTCAGAAATGCATGTGATAGTATCAACAAGCACTGGAGATCTTTGTGTACAAGGTCGGCGTTATGGATATTTCGGAGATCCCGAGCAAGTTGCAAAAGCATATCCAGCTTCTTTGACCAATTAAGATTACGAGCATGACAACGAAAATAGTGGCGCAAATCACCTTTTCTATAATAATCAGTAACAATAAAATATTTGTGGGTATGGGATCTTGTGTAACTCCATAACATTCAAACCCGTTAGGATTGAATTTCATATATTGGTGAAGTATTTTTAACTAAGAATTATTTAGAACTCATGAATGATATAATTATATGTTCATAATAATCATATATATATATGTCCATAGTTATAATGATTGCTTACCTCATGCATAAAATCGCTAAAACCCTCATAAAGACATTTTAAAGCAACAAGTTCAGTTCCCCAACGTGCCCACTTCTTTTCTTTAGGCATCCATTTTATGATACATCCTTTCTTCCATTTTGATTTATAAATAATTCCGTAGCCGCCTCTTCCAACCTCCTCGACTTCAGTAATATTTGTATAAGGAATCCACTCAAATACTTCTTGCCAACACCTTACAGTGAGCTGTGTTTCTCTAAGAAACTTGTCGAGTTCTTCATTACTACTTGTCCAACTTGAGAATTCGGCTTCCAAGCGTTTGGCGTTGCAGCTTCGACACCATTTTAAGCCTGTGTTTTTCTCCTTACACTCTTTGCAGTATCCGAAATTTTTATTCATTCGTGTGTGTTTTGAAAAGAGTGTAAAGTGTATTTAAGAAAAAGAAAATAAATTATCGGATTTTCCTCAATTTATGGTAACAAAGTAAGTAATAAAGAAGCAATCAAAAAAATCAAACGTAACATATACAGTTACACGTAATAAAAAGTTTTCAAACCAAGAAAGCACTAAAAGGAGTAAGCATCATGTGATGTACAGATAAAGATGGTCAACTGTTGAGCATTAATAAAACCGATTTAATACTGTACTTTCTTTCCCATTAAAATTCACAATTTTACCAGCCACTTTGGTGAGTGTCATTTATAAACAACAGTAATATTATGTGACTTCAAAACTTTTATAAAAAGAAGTTAAACCGATAAAATGATAGAGCAATTGTGCTACACATTCCTATCGGTTCATTTTATAAAGTTTTTTAATAAGAATTTGAGGTAATATTAATGGATTAAAAAAAAGCGAAATTTAATAATTTTGATAAATGGAAATAATAAAATATGAAATTTCGGATGGATTCTACAAAAATTCCGTGTAATATAACAAAAAAATTCTGCCGCTTGTGTCTCAAGCGTTATTCAAACGCAACGAACTAAGACTCTACTTTAGAAAGGTTTGTCACAAGAATTCCTATCAATTTATTTAGAAAGTTGATCACATTTCAAAGATTTTCATAATAAAAACCATCGTTTATTCAAAAATTTTTATAGAGAATATTCTATAGAATTTTAAATTTTTCTATCAGGATGTAGGCCTATAAATTATAAGTTTCGTCTATATAGTAAAATTTCAATAAGTAAATAAATGGCTTGTAAGTAAATTAAATATCATATTTCAATTAAATTTCAACATATGATATGCATTATACACACATTTAAATTTAATAAAAATTTATTTGGAATTTATACATTATAAATTAATCAAATAAATTTAAGATCATAAAACTAGAATATGCGATTTGCTGGGGGACTTCGTCCCCCAAATATAACATTTATAATTAAAAAAATTCTTTGATATAAATAAATTGAATTGTTACCGAATAATAAAATTTTATTATAATTAGACCCTATAAAAAATCATGTTTTAATAAGATTTATACAATTTTTTCTTAAAAATAATGTATCTAAACTATATATAAGGATATAGGAAAATGCACAATTCCATATCACAAAAATGCACCATTTGTATGATTGACCATAATTTATACTGAATTTATA